CTCCATGAGGGCAGGGATTTTTGTCTGTTTTGCTCACTGCTGTTTCTCCAGTGCCTAGAACAGTACCCTGCACAAAGGAGGTGCTCAAGAAAGATTTGTGGACTGAATGGTGTCATTTACTCTACAGAACTCTGGGAGGTATAATGAACCTCCTACTTACAGATAAGAAACTAAGCAGGGCATGGTGGCTTACGCCTGTAATCTCAGCACTTTGGGAGGCCGAGGTGGGCGGATAATGAGGTCAGGAGTTCAAGACCATCCTGGCTAAGATGGTGAAACATTGTCTCTACTAAAAATACAAAAAAATTAGCCAGGTGTAGTGGCAGGCGCCTGTAGTCCCAGCTACTTGGGAGGCCGAGCCAGAAGATTGGCGTGAATCCAGGAGGCAGAGCTTGCAGTGAGCCGAGATCACGCCACTGCACTCCAGCCTGGGCAACAGAGCAAGACTCCATCTCAAAAAAAAAAAAAAAAAACCTGAAGGTCAGAGCGAGTCAATGATTTCTGCCTGGAAGGCTTGTTCCCCAGGTCTCCCTGTGGCTGTCTCCTTCTCTTCATTCAGGTCTCAACTCAAAAGTTACCTCTTAGGAGAGGCCAGAACTGAATCAGACCTATCCCTCTCCCCTCCATCTCTGGTATCCAGTGGGATTCTGCACATCACTTCTCAGCACCTCAGATTATGGCGGCTAAGCATGGTGGCTCATGCCTGTAATCCCAACACTTTGGGAGGTCGAGGCCGGTGGATCACCCGCGGTCAAGAGTTCAAGACCAGCCTGGCCAACATGGTGAAACCCCATCTTTACTAAAAATATAAAAATTAGCCAGGCGTGGTGGCGGGCGCCTGTAATCCCAGCTACTCAGGAGGCTGAGGCAGGAGAATCGCTTGAACGTGGGAGGCGGAAGTTGCAGTGAGCTGAGGCCGCACTCCAGCCTGGGCGACAAGAGCAAAACTCTGCCTCAAAAAAAAAAAAAAAAAAAAAAGATTATTGCGTTTAGGTGGTGGAGTGCTACCTCTCTCTCCACTAGAACAAGCCCCTGAGAGCAGGGATGCTGTCTGCTCGTGGCTTACCCACCACATCTCACCTGTGGGGAGATGCCCAATTGGCTTGGCCCAGGAGCCAACTGTGAGCCAGATTCTCACAGGAGAGAGGCAGAAGAAGGGTTCTGATGGTCAGTCATCCATTGGTTCAGCCAGGCCTGGAGATCCAGGTGGGGCAGCCACTAACCCTTCTCCGGTGAGGGTACAGGATCACAGTGGCCTTTGCTGGTCCTGAGAGGAAGGAAATAGGAGATCTCCACCGTCCTCACAGAGTCCTTCACGTCCTGCTTATTGGCAAAATCAGGACTGAAGCATCCCGCAGAGCCTGTGGATAGAGGAGCCCAGCCCCAGTCAGCCTGCTAGGGCCCAGCCTTCCTTCCTACTGCCTCACAGGTGCTCTCTGGCTCCCTCTCCCGCTGTCCCAGCAACAGAGGCCCATGCCTGGATGAGGCAGAGATGGGGGCTCTGCCACAATGGTAGCAACCACATCAAATGACACCAGCAGCTCATGGAAAGCCTCTTTATGACAATCCCATAGGTGGGAATTCATGATCCTCCTCATTTTATACTTGGGGAAACTGAGGATTAGAGAGGTGAAGTCACTTGTACAAAGGCCCACAGTGAATGAAAAATGGAGTTCGAACTTGAACCAGCAACTCTGGCTTCTATAGCCAATTGCACTGAGGGTACTGATGCCCTTCATCAGGCACAAACCAGCCCTCCTCATGCTGCTGGTATAGAGACTCTCAGAAACTGGGACACCAGGAATTAATCTTAGAGAGGCTAAGTGACCAGCCTGAGGACACACAGTTAGTACCACTGGGCCCTCTCCCAACTGTAGGGGGCTTACCTCATGGGCCAGCATTTTATATAGCTCCTCTCAAGCAGTCAGCAGCCGATCCCGGTCCATGCTGTCAATCACAAGGATGACGAACTGGCAGGCTTTCTCTATGGTAAACATGTTTCCCCCATCTCTGCACTGCCCAGACGCCAGCATCAGATAAATGAAACCATGCAGCCTCAAGATTTCACCACCCTGCTTCCATTATAATTGTCTTTGGCAGCTGGGATTACAGGCACGTGCCACCACACCTGGCTAATTTTTGTATTTTTAGTAGCGATGCGGTTTCGCCATGTTGGCCAGGATAGTCTCAAACTCCTGACCTCAGGTCACCTTCCTGCCTCGGCCTCCCAGAGTGCTAGGATTACAGGCGCGAGTCACCACACCTGGCCTGTAATTGTCTTTTCTATCCAGACATGGGAACAGCACACCTCTGGCTGTGTGGCAGAGGCTGAGGCTGTGCTACATAAGCACTTGATGTTCGTGACTCCATTTAGGCCTCATCACAACCCTGTGGACTTGGTACTGTTAGTATCCCCATTTTACAAATGAAGAGACTGAGGCTCCGTGAGGCTACCTATCTTGCTCTTGACCACACAGCTGGTGAGTAGCAGTGCTGGAAATGGAACCCAACTCTGTCTCAGTTCAGGAATTAAACCACTGAATTCTACTCCTGCTGGAGTAAGAAGGTAAGGCCCTATAGACAGGGGGCCTACCCCATCCAGTGCATCAAACAAAGCTGCCAGCAGCTGCCAGGGAGTATTCAAACATGTTAATAGGCAGGCACTGCACTGTGTTGAGTATCTGACATATATACATTACATATTGGTTTGTTATTTAATTTTCACAACAACTCAGGGAGATCATTATATATATGTATATATATAACTTGTTTTTTTGAGGCAGAATCTTGCTCTGTCACCCAGGCTGCAGTTTCAATGGCGCGATCTCGGCTGACTGCAACCTCTGCCTCCCAGGTTCAAGCAATTCTCCTGTCTCAGCCTCCCAAGTAGCTGGGATTACAGGCGCCTGCCGCCACGCCCAGCTAATTTTTGTATTTTCAGTAGAGGTGGAGTTTCACCATGTTGGCCAGGCTGGTTTTGAACTTATGACCTCAGGTGATCCACTCGCCTCTGACTCCCAAAGTGCTGGGATTAGAGGCGTGAGCCACAGCAACCTGCCGATTATTATAATCTCTATTTCACAAGTTGAGGAACCAAGGCTCAGAGAGGTTACATGACTGTCTGACATCATACAGCTGCCTTGGAGCCCTGGTGCCCTCCTCACCTAGGTGTTGGTGATAAAACTCAGAGCCTCCTGCCCCACTATGTCCCACATGAGGAAGTGGGTCTTCTGCAAAATGATCTCCTCCATGTTGCTGCCAGTGGTGGAACACGTATGGACCACCTCATTGGTCAAGCTGGGGAGGTAGGAGAGGGCACCAAGAGCTCAGTCCAGCCTACTGCCAACTCTGGCCCCCAAATGCTCTACTCCCAAAGCAGGCTGAATCTAACTCAGAACAAGTCCACCCAGGTTCACCAAGCACCTGCTGGGAGCCAGACCCTGTGCTGGGCCCTGGGGAATGAAGACAGGAGTGAGACCAAGCCTTGTCCTGGCTTGGACCCCAGAGATGGGAAACATCTTCAAGCAGGCTCCTCAAACTTTATATCTTTTTTCCTTTTTATAGAAATGGGGTCCCACTGTGTTGCCCAGGCTAATCTTGAACTCCTGCCTTGGCGTCCCAAAGTGCTGGGATTACAGGCATGAGCCACAGAGCCCAGCCTCCTCAAACTTTAACATGCAGTTGAATCACCTGAGAGTTTTGTCAAAATGCAGGTTCTGACCCAATGAGTCTGGGCTGGGGCCCAGGGTTTTGCATTTCTTTCTTTATTTATTTATTATTATTTTTTTTCTTTTTGAGACAGAGTCTCACTCTGTCGCCCATTCTGGAGTGTAGGCACAATCACGCCTCCCAGGTTCAAGCAATTCTTCCGCCTCAGTCTCGGCCTTCCAAAGTGCTGGGATTACAGGTGTAAGCCACCGCATCCGGCCACGGTTTTGCATTATTTCTTTCCTTCTTCTTTTTTTTTTTTTTTTTTTTTTTTTTTGAGATGGAATCTTGCTCTGTTACCCAGGCTGGATTGCAGTGGCGTGATCTCGGCTCACAGCAAGCTCCACCTCCTGGGTTCATGCCATTCTCCTACCTCAGCCTCCCGAGCAGCTGGGACTGCAGGCGCCTGCCACCACGCCTGGCTAATTTTTTGTACTTTTTTTTTTTTTTTTTAGTAGAGACGGGATTTCACCAGGTTAGCCAGGATGGTCTCGATCTCCTGACCTCGTGATCCGCCTGCCTTTGCCTCCCAAAGTGCTGGGATTACAGGCATGAGCCACCGTGCCCGGCCCCCTTTTTTTCTTGAGATATAGTCTCTGTCGCCCAGGCTGGAGTGCAGTGGCGCAATCTCAGCTCACTGCAACCTCCACCTCCTGGGTTCAAGCGATTCTCCTACCTCAGCCTCCCAGAGTAGCTGGGATTACAGGCGCATGCCACTATGCCCAGCTAATTTTTTTTTTTTTTTTTTTTTTTGAGATGGAGTATCGCTCCCATTGCACAGGCTGGAGTGCAGTGGTGTGATCTCGGCTCACTGCAACCTCCACCTCCCGGGTTCAAGTGATTCTCCTTCCTCAGCCTCCAGAGTAGCTGTGATTACAGGCATGTGCCACCACGTCCGGCTAATTTTTTTTTTTAGTAGAGACAGGGTTTCACCATGTTGCCAGGCTGCTATCGAACTCCTGTCCTCGGGTGATCCACCCGCCTCGGTCTCTCAAAATGTTAGGATTACAGGCGTGAGTCACCGTGCCCAGCCCTTTTTTTAAATTTTATTTATTTTTTAATTTTCATTTTTAGTAGAGACGAGGTTTCACCATGTTGGCCAGGCTGCTCTTGAACTCCTGATCTCAGGTGATCCGCCCACCTCGGCCTCCCAAAGTGCTGTGATTACAGGTGTGAGCGACCCGCCCAGCCACGGTTTTGCATTTCTGATAAGCTTTCAGGTGATGCCTATGTGACTGGTCTGTAGACCACACTTTGAGAAGCAAAAGTTTAGAAAAATAGACACAGTGAAGGACATCAGAGAGGTGCTTTGTTTAAAGTGACACAGAAAACATACACATGCTTTTATATGTAAATAATGTTTCTGAAAAGTTACCGCAAAGTTACAATAGGAGGAAAACTAGGAGCTAGAGGCGAGAAGGAAACTTACTTTTCACTGTGTATTCCTCCATTGTTTGAAATTTTCCTTCATGCTTTTTAAAAATCATTTACATGTATTACTTTTTCATGGAAAAGCTTATCCTAGGTAAAGTACTTTGGAGGCTTAAAATGGGAGAGGTGCCATCCAGAGAGCGAATATCGGGGAAAGCTGCGATCTGTATTTACTCAGCCCCACCCATACGTGCCAGGCTTCTAGACCAGGAGCTACAGAGACTCAGTGAGCCTTTGGGTTTGAAGAAGGGAAAGAAAGTTAACTGACAGAGGGGACAGGGGTGAGAAAGGGGCGACCTGCCGCTAGAGGGAGCGAGGACCAGGAAGGCAGGTTGGGACACTTGGCAGGCCTGGAGCTGGGTTTGGCAGGGGCCCCAGGAAGATGGAGGAAAGCAGTGGGAGCTAGGGTTGCCCGTACGGTGCAGGATTTGAATGCCAGACCGAGGAGCCGCAGTACTAGGAAGGTCCAAGCAGCGTTCTCAATCACTCCTCCGGGTACAGAGGAGCCCTGTAACCCAGGGAAGAGCTCTAGTGATTGGTCCCCATGCCTGTCAGTCTGGTGGGAGGCCCAGCCCTCTACCCTCACCGCCCGAAAGTCACTTACAACTGGTAGAGAATGGTGCTCTCCCGCATTGTCCAGTCCCATGATGATAACCTTCTGCTCTGGAAGCATCCGAGGAAGGGCAGCGTCAGGGCCAAATCCGATGGCCAAGGGACTGTGTGCCCCCACCAGACCTCCCAGGAAGGAGATAGCGCTCCCCGCATGCTGGGGACCTCTGCCCACCTTAGCGTGTCTGCTTCCTACCCAGCCCTGACACCTGCCCCACTCCGGGACGGTGGAAAAGACAGCTGAGCCCCCACCTCCCTTCACATTCTAGAAGAGTCTGAAAGGCCCGGGGCGCCTCTGGGCTTGCCGCGAGACGGTGTCTGGAGAAAGAGCCGAACGCGAAGTCACAGTCGCAGGAAACCCGCAGCAGCCCCCCATCCCCGCCGCTGGCGCCGTTTAGCGGGGAGAAAGGAGGCTTGCCCAGCCCTGCGTCCCGGGGAGCACCAAAGCGCGAGGATCCAAGAAGAGCAGGCAGGGACGGGGGCAGGGAAGGCCGCGCGGCAGTCGAGGAGCGCCCATATACGACCCTCGGAGCCCGAGGTCCCCAGTGCGTCTGACCCCAGATCAGAGGAGTCCCAGAAGAGAGCGAGATCAAAGCGCTCGCTTGGATGCCCTGTGCGCCCCTTACCCTGGTTTCCGAAGATGCTCATTAACTTGGCAATCAGCTGTCCTATGGCACTTCCCGGGCCGGACAGGTGCAGGAGGGCTCAGCGGCCTCAGGAGCGGAGTCGGCCCTGGTGCTCGGAGCTCCGCTCCCCGGGGGAGGGTCTGGCAGGCTTTGCCTATGAAGTTAGGGAAGCCCCACGCGTCACCAACCTGACCTGGGAACCCTCTGGGACGCTGGCCCTTCGCGGGCGCTATGGACACCCCAGTGACTAAGAGCTGCCTGTCCAGGGCCCGAGAGGTGCAAGGAATATGGGAGTTTCAAGCTCCAGTTCTCCCCCTCGCCCTGCGAAAACTCCACAGTTATCCGGGTGGGATGCACCACCGCAAATCAGCGGAGACTCGCACTGTGCCCGGAACCGGATCCCAGCTCTCCCTTCTCTGAGTGCCATATCTAGGGCACTAGACTGAAGCAAAACCCCAGGCGACCCACTTTCTGTACCTACAGCTGTGTAGTACAGACAGAGCTCACCGATCCTCTCTGAGCTGGGAGAATATTCCAACCCTCCACAGATCTTCAGTCGGTTCACTAGCGTGGCTCTTGGGGGCCCACTCAAAGTGTGTTCTCCTGGGGAAAGGCAGGGTTTCCCCTTGGTGCTTGGCAACTTCTAGGATAAATCAGTGCTCCTGCAATTCACTGACAAACCCACTGCCCAGGCACAGCTTCCTGATCCCCGGAAGTGGGCACCTGAAGACAAGGATGGAACATGAAGAGAGATCCTCCAGCTGGAGACCCTGCAGAGAGGCCCCAGATACCTGGCAGAGGAGTACATGAGCCAATAGAGAACCAGGAGGCCAGATCTGAGGAGGGTATGGAAGGGGGAGCTTTCTGTTGTTGCTTGTGAATTTCTTCCTTTGCTTAAGCTGGGGGGGAAAATAATAAATAAATAAATAAATAAATAAATAAACGAACTGATAACAAAAAGAGAAGTCTAAAAGGCAATGCGCCCTCAGGCTGCGGAGGTGGTTAGCAGGAGATCCAGCCAACACACCAGGGAGCCAGCTCCTTCCACCCCACTGCACTGCCCTCCTACAGCCTCCACTAAGGTAACGACCCTCCATTAAGGTAACAACTCTAACTGGTCTCCCTGCCTCTAGCTCTCCTTTCCCAGGGCATCCTCTCTATGGCCCTATTAATCTTCCTAAAGCACAGCTCAGGGTCTGTAAATCCCCCAGCTCATAAACCTTCAATGGCTCCCTATTGCTCACTGGATTCAGATCAGTCTCCACTTGACTGATCTGACATTCAAGAGCCTCCACGAACAGACCGCACCTGCCTCGGCAGGTTTATCTCCCAGGCTCTGCATCTACTGGTTCCTGCCTACACATGCCCAGCTCTTTCTGACTGTACCTTTGCTTCTGCATTTCCTCCTTGAGTGCCTTTCACCTTCTCAGAAAAGAGAATGCCTGAGACCTTTTAGCTCCCCTGCCATAAAAGCCACCTGCTTCCCCAGCCCTCGCTTGGTTCTCCAGCTACATGGGGCTTTTCCCTACACTGGGATTATAGACCGGCAAGTCTGTTTCCTCCCATCAACTGTGAGTCCGAGGGTGGGGTTCATATCTTGTTAACCAGCGTATGACACCCGCACTCCCTGCCTGGTCCGGAGCCCGGCACACAGGAGGAATGTGTTGCTATCAGACTGATGTAGAATGAGTTAAGCTACAGCCTGAGAAATGGCACTTGGAATATTGAAAAAGGAATGGGAACACAAGTTTAAGAGGATTGAGGAAGGCTGGGAAGTTTGTGGGAAGAAGGAAAATAGCTCACTAAATACAGACTTTCATCCCACCCAATTTAGTGCCCAGAGTTAGAAGGATAGAGTTGACTGCCAGAGCCCATCTGGGCTGATTGCATTTCAGCCTTAGCAGAGAAGGAGCCAAGTCTGGGGCTGGGGGCTGGGACACCGAGGGTGCTGAGGGAAGCAGCAGTGTCTTAAGCATTTTACCATCTGTTTCCTGGGGGCAGGGGGATGGGGGGAGGAACCTCTTAGTGCATGCTGCCCTCCCCACCTCCTCTTTGCAGAATTGAAAGTAATACTCTGCAAGCTGGAAACACTTCAGTAAACAGACAAAGACAGGAGATCTCTCTGAGTATACTCTGGCTCGGGAAGTTGCCTGATTAAAAAAATATATAGTTAAAAGAGAAAAGAAGAAAAAGAAAAGAAAAGAAAAAAACAGACAAGAAGATCTGCCTCCACTTTGAGGCCCAGGACCCGGATCTTAAGAAGCATTCATTCGGCCGGGCGCGGTGGCTCAAGCCTGTAATCCCAGCACTTTGGGAGGCCGAGACGGGCGGATCACGAGGTCAGGAGATCGAGACCATCCTGGTTAACATGGTGAAACCCCGTCTCTACTAAAAAAAAAATACAAAAAACTAGCCGGGCGAGGTTGCGGACGCCTGTAGTCCCAGCTACTCGGGAGGCTGAGGCAGGAGAATGGCGTGAACCCGGGAGGCGGAGCTTGCAGTGAGCTGAGATCCGGCCACTGCACTCCAGCCTGGGTGACAGCGCGAGACTCCGTCTCAAAAAAAAAAAAAAAAAAAAAAAGAAGCATTCATTCATTTATTCATTCATTTGACAAATATGAGCCAGGAAACACATGAAGTAGACAAAACAGACCCAGTCCGGGTCTTCATGTTTTTGTTTTGTTTTGTTTTTTTGAGACAGAATCTTGCTCTGTCACCCAGGCTGGAGTCCAGTGGCGGGATCACGGCTCACTGCAGCCTCAACCTCCCAGGCTCAAGTGATCCTCCCACCTCAGCTTCCGGAGTAGCTGGGACTAGAGGTGAAAGCCACCACTCCCAGCTAATTTTTTTTTTTTTTTTTTTTTTTTTTTTTTTTTTTTTTTTGTAGAGACGGGCTTCACCATTGGTCTCCAACTCCTGGACTCAGTCTCCCTCCTCAGCCTCCCAAAGTGCTGGGATTACACGCATGAGCCACTGCTCCCATTCCCAGTCTGTGTCTTTATGGAGCTTGTGATGTAGAGGGAGAAACAGATACACACACACACACACACACACACCTCTGAAAGACAGTAGGAAGGCCTGATTTAGAAGGAAAGCAAGGCACCCTTCTTCGAATAAAATGAGAGGTGAAGCCAGCTGGACTTCCTGGGTCGAGTGGGGACTTGGAGAACTTTTCTGTCTTACAAGAGGATTGTAAAATGCACGGATCAGCCCTCTGTAGCTAGCAAGAGGATTGCAAAATGCACCAATCAGCACTCTGTAAAAACGCACCAATCAGTGCTCTATGGCTAGCAAGAGGATTGTAAAATGCACCATTCAGTGCTCTGTAAAATGCACCAATCAGCGCTCTGGAAAATGCACCAATCAGCACTCTGTAAAACGCACCAATCAGCAGGATCCTAAAAGTAGCCAATCGAAGGGAGGACTGAAAAAAGGACACTCTGATAGGACAGAAACGGAACATGGGCAGGGCCAATAAGGGAATAAACTCTGGCCACCTCCCCGCCAGCAGTGGCAACGCACTAGGGTGCGATTCCACGCTATGGAAGCTTCAGTTCTATTGCATTCCTTGGCTCTTCACAATAAATCTTGCTGCTGCTCAATCTTTGGGTCTGTGCCATCTTTAAGAGCTGTTAACACGCACCGGGAAGGTCCGAGGCTCCATTCTTGAAGTCAGCGAGACCAGGAACCCCACCAGCAGAAACCAACTCTGGACACAAAAAGGTTACTGGAGCTAAGACAAAATTTTTCTCCAAGATACAAGGGACAGCCCCTTGTCCCTGGACCATGGTGGCCTCAGCTTAGTTCTCTTTAGTGTAGAAAAGTGGAAACCTTAAGCCACACCTAGGACCTGGGCCTCTCCCACATCATCTTATTCTGGGAGAGAATCCACTGCAAAAACAGGAGTAGCTAGTCAGGGAAGGAAACGAAGGGTCCCAGGTAGCAGGAGTCCTCAGTCCCTCGGTTCCTGCAGGGTCTCAGCTGACTTCATGGTTGTCGAAATCCTCACACATGGACAACCACTGACTTGCTGATGGTGTAGCCAGCGTTAGTTGAGAACATCTGATTACCAAGAAACAAGAATCTCACTATCTCCAAGCCAGCTAGAAATGCCCTTCCTGCAAGTTCCAGGCAAATGCAATTTTTTTTTTTTTTTGAGACAGAGTCTCCCTCCATCGCCCAGGCTGTAGTGCAGTGGCTGAATCTCAGCTCACTGCAACCTCTCCCTCCTGGGTTCAAGTGATTCTCCTGCCTCTGCCTCCCAAGTAGCTGGTATTACAGGCGCCCACCACCACACCCGGCTAATTTTTGTATTTTTAGTAGAGATGGGGTTTCACCATGTTGGCCAGGCTGGTCTCGAACTCCTGACCTCAAGTGATCCACCCACCTCGACCTCCCAAAGTGCTGGGATTACAGGTGTGAGCCACCGCGCCCAACCTGCAAATGCAATTTCAGGCAGAAGGCACATGGGGCACAAACACACTCAGACACCTGCTTCCTCCTTCCCAAACCCCCAGCCCCCACCCTTGCAGAAGCTGATGCATCCTGGGGCAAAGGAATTAGCACTGAACTTGGGGGGGGTCAAAGGCACCACTGAACTTGACATCCATATGTCTGAGTTCAAATCCTTGCCCCATGGTTGTGTAACTGTGGTCAAATAGTTTTTAACCTCTATGAACTTTGTAAACTGGAGTTAATAATACCTGACCTTGATTCAAAACATCAGACTCCAGTTCAGTCCTCTCTGTGGAGCTCCAGACCATATACCCAGCTGTCTTTTCCTCTTCTCTCTCTCTTTTTTTTTTTTTTTTTTTTTTTTTTTTTTTTTGTGATAGAGTCTCGCTCTGTCACCCAGGCTGAAGTGCAGTGGCAGGTTGGTTCACTGCAATTTCCGCCTCCTGAGTTCAAGCAGTTCTCCTGCCTCAGCCTCTAGAATAGCTGGGATTACAGGCACCCACCACCACACCCAGGTAATTTTTGTGTTTTCAGTAGAGATGAGGTTTCACCATGTTGCCCAGTCTGGTCTCGAATTCTTGACCTCAATTGATCTGCCCACCTGGTCCTCCCAAAGTGCTGGGATTACAAGCATGAGCCACTGCTCCCAGCCTCTGCTTCTCTTCTTGAATGTCCCACAGGCACCTCAAACCCACTTTGACCAAAGATGGACTGATCACTTCTGCCCCTAGCTTATTTGGTTTTTTTACCTGCTTTTACTGGAAAGACCACCATCAGCAGTCACCTCCTTTTCTTTCTTTCTTTTTTCTTTTTTTTTGGGGGGGACAGAATCTTGCTCTGTCACCCAGGCTGGAGTGCAGTGGTGTGATCTCGGCTCACCACAGCCTCCGCCTCCTGGGTTCAAGCGACTCTCCTGCTCAGTCTCCAGAGTAGCTGGAGGCGTGTGCCACTGCACCTGGCTAATTTTTGTATTTTAGTAGAGACAGGGTTTTGCCATGTTGGCCAGACTGGCCACCTCTCTTTCTCTCTCTCTCTCTTTTTTTTTTTTTTTTTTTTTTTGAGACGGAGTCTCCCTCTGTTACCCAGGCTGGAGTGAAGTGGTGCGACCTCAGCTCATCACAACCTCCGCCTCCCGGGTTCAAGTAATTCTCCTGCTTCAGCCTCCCGAGTAGCTGGGACTACAGGCACTGCCACCTCGCCTGGCTAATTTTTGTATTTTAAGTAGAGATGGGGTTTCACTATGTTGGCTAGGCTGGTCTTGAACTCCTGACCTCGTGATCCACCCACCTCGGCCTCCCAAAGTGCTGGGATTACAGGTGTGAGCCACTGCACCCGGCCTCACCTCCCTTTCTCTTATCAGCTGCCTCCACTTGCTCTCCAAGAGCTCAAGATTCTAACATTTATTTATTTATTTAATTTATTGAGACAGGGTCTTGCTCTGTTGCCCAGGCTGGAGTGCAGTAGTGTGATCATAGTTCACTGCAGCCTTGACTTCCTGGGCTCAAGAGATCCTCCCCACCTCAGCTTCCCTATCACAGCCTCCTGAGTAGCTGGGACTACACATCCAGCTAATTTTTAAAAATTTTTGTGAAAACGTCAGTCTCACTATGTTGCATAAACTAGTCTCAGAACTGCTGGACTCAAGCAATCCCGCCACCTCGGCCTCCCAAAGTGCTGGGGTTACAAGCGTGAGCCACCAAACCCGGCCATCTAACTGCTAGATGTCCCTGGCCTCTTTGCCTCCCTTCCCGTCCCACTGCTGTGGCCTAAGGCAAACCCTCCTTTCTCACCTGGATTATCACAGCTGTTTCCAAGCTAGGCCTTCCAATCTATGCGCCAAACTGCAAACAAAGCAATCTTGCTAGTTGCTTACAATCCTTCCATTTCTGCGCACAAGCTTCAGGACAAAGTCTAAACTCCTTAACATGACTCAAGGCCCACTGTGACCTGCTCCTGCCAATCCCTCTCTGGCCACCACCTTGAGAGCACACTTTGCTGGTGAGGTGCCAAGAATATGTCATGCATGTCCCCTACTTTCTCTGCTTTGAACATTTCCCCCATTTGTCTGCCAACCATGCTTCTAGATTCTACTCAAGCCTCACCTCCACCAGGAAGCCTCAGCTGACCTCCCCAGGTTATGGGACTAACCCCTCTTTCAGGTTCCCACAGTACCCAGTGCTCCCACAGCAGAGAGTACATTATGCTGTGCTGAAATCATCTATGGCCCCTACGTAGACTTGTGCCTGGTACATTGGAGGTGCTCAATAAACGTTTGTTCAAGGAATAAACACAGGAATGAATGATTCTGTAGGAAGGCAGTGGGAAATGCACTATGCTAGGAGGCAGGGACTAGGCTCTCATAAACTTTGCCATTGGCTCCCCAGGGAACTGAGGTCAGCCACTTGACCTCTGGGCCTGCCCAGTTCCCCTTTCCTTTGATCCACTAACTCCTCATCTGTAGGGTCTTGGGGGATGTCTTTTGCCCCACACACACGTGCACACACACACACAGTCATTCATGTTGGGCCTTAGCACTCCGGTAGTGGACTCAGGAATTTTAATCCTCCACGGCCACCTGCGCAAAAACAAGAACCAGGGTGGGTGTGGTGGCTCATGCCTGTAATCCCAGCACTTTGGGAGGCTAAGGCAGGTGGATCACCTGAGGTCAGGAGTTCAAGACCAGCCTGGCCAACATGGTGAAACCCTGTCTCCACTAAAAATACAAAAATTTGCTGGGCATGGTGGCACACGACTGTAATCCCAGCTACTCGGGAGGCTGAGGCAGGAGAATTGCTTGAACCTGGGAGGCGGAGGTTGCAGTGAACCGAGATCGCGGCACTGCACTCCAGCCTCAGCAACGAGCAAAACTCCATCTCAAAAAAAAAAGAAGAAAAATAAAAAGAACCAGCAGGGAGGGGAAATAGTTTGAGGGTACTGTGTGAGGCAGGACACAGGTGGTTGCAGTAACTGTCAGAAGTCCACATCCTGCCAGCTAGGGATGGCAGGAATGGGTACGCTCATCTGCTGACTTTCAGTCGAGGACTGACAGAATCCCTGATTATCTCTGACCTGCCCCCAAAGCTGGTTAGCAGGAACAAGGGGGGCATTAGTGGAGCCAGAAGCTCAGCCCCTCCCTCTCCTGAGGTGTTGGGACACAGCCAGGCCACAAGAGCAGAAAAACAATCATGTGTATTTAAGACTTTGCACCAATGGGTCTGGATCTCACCCACCAAGCAACACCAGCTTCCCATTGCCTCTGGCTGTACTTGTGGAGAGAGAGGTAAGTGAAGGGGCTCAGGGCCAGTGCGGAGCCAGGACTGCCCAAGCAGTGGGCATCAGAGGGCCAAAATCGAAGGATCATCTTCCCTTTTGAGTCAACGACTCAGCGCACAGCTTCTTCCTGCACCCACCCCTTCAATTCCCCCTGCATATCAGCAGCTCCCAGGTGCCTAGGCTGATGACTATGTGGCGAGGACAAAGAAGCAGGCTTGGGAGGCAGCCACAAAGGACAGGACAGTGGTTTTATATATGGCAAAATACTTCTCCTAGGGGAGTACAGACAGATATAGACAGACAGATGGGGGCACAGGACACCAGACAGGGAGGGGGAAAGGGTGGGCAGTGGTGTCTTCTAATCAGTAAGTGGAAGCTGCACCCCACCCCCAGGTGGAGTGTAGGACATTGGCACAGGAGGTGGCGAGACAGGCATGAGGTGCCCATCCCTGAGGCGGGCAGCCGGGCAGGGCCCAGTCCTTGTTGGCACAGTTGGCTCTCTCTGGCCCAGCTGGGATGCTGGGGAGGGGCAGGGCTGCTGGGCTACAGGGATTCCAAGGCAGAGGGATGCCCCAGGGGAGAGGGGGTCTCCTGGGGGAAGTGAACATGGGTAACAAACAGAATCACGAGAGGCAAGTACAGAGCAGCAACAGCAGCAGCCAAGCCCCCCAGAGGAGATCCGAGGTCCCAAGGCAACCCCTGGGCACCAACCCATGGGTCCTCTCCCCTGGGGCCTCAGGGTGAGGGTGAAGGAGCAGTTTTTTGGTTTAAAATGAGGCGGACCAGAGTGTTCCATGGGCTCCACACCCAGGTGGCACAGGGATGGGGGGCTCAGATGCAGAAGAGGGCCCCCTCTTCTAATGGCAGCAGGCAAGGGATGTTGGAGGCCAAGCTCATTCCTAGGGTAGGCAAAGGCTGAGGTATGGAGGTGGGGGATGGGGAGCAGCGCCTCAGCTGCTCATTCTTCAGGGTTCTGGGCCCTGGACGTTGCCATGGCCACGGAGGGTAGAGGGTTTTGTATGCCTGCCGGCTTCCACCCAGAACCCTCCCCAGAGACAAGCTCCCCATGGGGTGTCCATGCTGTAGCTTTCACCGACCAGACGATGCTGCCAGGAAGCTGGGAGGAAGGGGCAGGCAGGGTGAGGGACCCCGGATCTGGGGTCTGGGGAAGAGAGCCCCCATGGGAAAGAATCTGTGGCCTCCCTTTCCAGGAAAAGTGCCCAGCCCTTCCCCAGTACTGCAGCTTGGGAGAAGGAGAGCCATCCCACTTAGGACCGCCACTTAGGGCCCCGAGTAGAAAGAGTGAAGGAAGTGCACCTTTTCTCTAGGAGGGCGAGGGAGGAGAGCCCCTTAAGATGGGAGAAAGGGGACACTTCAGAAAAGTGGGTATCCCCCATCCATCTGCAACAGGCAGGTAAAAACCGACAGCTGGGGCTTAAGGGCCTCCCGGGAGCTGGGATGATAACGCCGAATAAACCCCAAGCTTTGAGCAAAGGCATCTGAAAGGTGGGAGACAGCGCCCCCTGGAGGCGAATACATGTTGGGTGTGAGCCCCTCGCTCCCTCCCCTCCCCTCCCCTGGGCTCAGAGCCCTTCCTCCCGCCGTGTGGCCCCTGCCTCTCAGCGGATGTAGACGCCTCGTCCCCAGCCCTCCAGCTCGTTCTTGTTGCGCCCCAAAACTGGACCCCCACCCTCAGCGCAGTAGCGGGCCTTATTCCGGCCCCGGTTCCGGTTGTCGGTCAGCTCTTCCTCATAGTCTTCTTCCTCGTCCTCCCAGGATCCCTGTCGGGCTGGGGGGGTGCCACCCCCTGCAGGGTCTCCAAGCCCTGGCCCCTCTGAGGGGTCAGTCTCCATGTCCACACATGAGTCTCCCAGCTCCGTGTAGGCAGAGTTTCGGCTGCCGGGGGTGTCGGCATCAAAAGTGTCTTGGCGGGACAGTGCCCGTAGCGTGCCTGCCCGGCCTGGTGGGTGGCTGCTGGGGTAAAGGCCTGGGGGCTGGCCCAGCTCCCCTGGGTACTCGTGCACGCTGGCGTGCTCCCCGGTGGCCCGTTCCAGCGGCTGGTCCCCGGAAGCAAGGTAGGGTCCCTGGTTAGCAGACGGACAGCACACACCATGCAGATCAGGCAGGGGTGAGAAAAACACAACAAAGCAAGGCAAGTTAGTGACAGCATTAAGAGGTCCGGCCTGGATGAAGAGGGTGCTGGCTCTAGGGGAGGGGCCCCGGGGACAAATGGCTCTGGAGCCCAGCCAGAGGACAGACCTCAGGGCATTTGCTCCTCTCTCCAGACAGGGGGCACCCGACCTTCATGGCCGTCAGCCGTGAGCCATGAGTCACCGCTTCCCCGGTGCAGGTCATTAATGCTATCTTGGGGTTAATCATCATTAACAGCTCAGTATTGCCACTCATTAGTGGTTGATTGGGTTAGTCATTGCCTTTGGTTTTCCAAATATATTAACGAGATTTCAGCTAAAACCTGCTGACCCTGGCTTCTTCGACCCACACCAGACCCCAACCTTAGGCTTCCAGAACCCCATGCTTCTCCCACCATTCCCTAGTCAGATGACACTGTCTCCAAGGCTGATGGGATTCCTCCCCTGCCCCCAACAAGGACTCAAAGCAGCAAGCTGGGGAAGGCTGCTGGGTCTCCCCCTCCTACTGAAGATGAAGAGGTGACCCAGTGTCCTCACCACCAAATGTCACATGGAGGTGGGGCACAAGAGAGGTTCCAGTCCCTCCCCTGCCATGTCAAGCTGTGTGACCCTGAGCAAACAGTTCCCCTCTCTGTGGCTTCATGTCTTGGTTGTAATGTGACGGGAGTTAGACCTGAGCAGCAGTTTCCAAACTGTTACCTAGAGATCTGGGGTGGGGTTGGGTGGGGAGGGCACACAAGTGCTTCAGGGGTCCCCATGGAGGTGGAGGGGAGGCCATTCCCCTGGCTCCCTCAGGGCAAAGCAAGGATGTATTATCTACATCCTCAGCTTCCACACAAGATTCATTGAACAAATGGGCTCTGTTGCTGAAAACAAATTTGAAAGCTAGTCTAGAATGATTTCATGGGTTTCTTCTGGCTCTTAGAACCTTATACTTAATGGTGTGGAATCAAGAGGTGGGCTGTGGCTCCCATGGGAGGAGGGCAAGGCAGGATGGGTCTCCCATGGGAGGGCCTTTCCGGGACTTTAACTGGGAGAATGGTGGAAAATTCAGCATCAAGTCATAGAAGATGCCACATTCTGGGTCCTTCTTGAGGGGCCGTGTGGAGTCAGGGCTCCAGGGAGGGAGAGTCCAGGTTTAACGTAGGTTTCCCTGGCTCTGAGGGCCTCCGCTCTGTTGGGTCTAAAAAGGGTGTGGAGTCCAGCGAATTAGTTTATCAGTCTTCCTCGCATGTCCTTCCTAGTCCCTTGTCTTAAAAGTGCTCCCATCAGGCCTCATATCCAGCGGGCAGCAGATGCGGTCCTATGGCACCAGGCCCAGGAAGACAGCACCAGAAGCCCCAGACCCATCAAAAACCACAGACACCAGAAACTGCCGCTCATCACGTTTTTTTACAAAATAAAGCTCTTCCCTTCCTCCTCCATGTTCCCTGCACTCCAGTTCCGACCCCAGAGCGGGAGGGAAGACGGTCAGGGTGCCCACTACATGGCATGTTCCTGCTCCTGGGGCACCGCACTGTCCCGCTGCGAGGACTCCAGCCCGCCCCAGAAGCTGAGGTTTCTCCTGAGCGAGGTGAGCACCTGTACCTGGAGGTTGGAGACAGGGGCAGGGCTGGCAGCCAGGGCTGCGGTAGCCATGGTGCGGTTCAGCAGCGGATTGGGTGGCGTGCTGCTGGGCGGATGTGTGGCCTTCCAATAGGCTTCCAAGTACTCCGCCAGGTGCTCGCAGGCATCCTCCAATTGGTTCTCGTCCAGGATGATGTCAAACATTTCCTGTGAAGGTGGGGTTAGGGGGCAGGGCTGGAATGAGTGGGGCGTGGCCAAGGGGGTTGAGGGTGTGGCCTGGGTGCAGTGGGTAGAGTCAAGGGATTGAAGGACAAGGTTAAAAAGAGGCCTCTGGATGTGGAAGAAGGGAAGGAGGGCTCTCAGATCTACAGATTGGCAGAACTGCAAGAAGTTTTGGCACTCAGTCCAACTCCCTCATAGAGATAAGGCAACCAAGGCTGGGAGACAGGGCTTGACTCTCCACGGTGAAGGGTGCTTCTGGGGCTTGAACCCAGTCTTTGACTGACGGACCTGCACTCTTCTCGGAAGACCAGTTTGCACCTACAGGCCTGACCCAGGTGTTCCTGGTCACTCTGTCTCTCATGTAGGCCAGAGGAAACCGGGGCAACCCAAATGTCGTCCCTCCATTCCCTTCCCCGGGATCTAGGCACTCACAGGTGGGCACTGTGCCAGCTTTTCCGAGGCCGCTATTTGGACGTTGAGGTGTTTGGACTGAGACTTTCCTCGGGACTTGATGAGCCTCTGAAGTACCTGGTTTGGGGAGGGAGAAAAGGAAGAGGAGCTAGAGGGACTCAGGCAATGCACCCAGTCAGAGAGGCGGGTCCTGGTTGGATCAGCATGGAGAGCCAGTGTCAGGGCCCTTGAATGCTCCATAACTCTCAGCCCTGGGCACCTCTGCAGAAATGACCTCAGCAGCCCTATGTCTAGGGCTCAGGCTCTCTCCTGGTCTCATGCCAGACTTCCTTAGAGGCTGTATGAAGGGTAGTGATTCTTCTTCCCAACTTCTCTAACCTTGTTTGTAGGCCTGCCCACCCTCCTTTTTTTATTTTTATTTTAGAGACTGGTTCTCACTCTGTCGCCCAGGCTGAAGTGCAGTGGTGTGATCATAGTTCACTATACCCTGGACTCAAGCAAGCCCCCAGCCTAGCCTCCTGAGGAACTAGGGCTACAGGCACGTGCCACCATATCCCGCTAATTTTTTAAAATTTTTTTGTATATGTTGCCCAGGCTGGTCTCAAACTCCTGGCCTCAAGTGATCCACTTGCCTCAGCCTCTCAAAGTGCTGGGATTATAGGCATGAGCCACTGAGCCCAGTCACACCCTCTATATTAACAACACCAACAATAGTCTTCCTTTATGAGGCACTTGCTACATACCAGCATTGTTCTGTGCTTTTCACATGATCAATTTAGTCCTGATAACATTCCTGTTCGACAGCTACTATTATCATTCTCATCTCAACAACCACCACCATAATTATAATAATGTAAAACCTGAAACTAATCATGAGGAACAATCACACAAACCCACACTGAGGGACAGACAGTCTACCAAATAGCTGTCCTGTACTCTGCCTAAATGTCAGTCTCTGGAAAATTCAAGAAAGGCTGAAGAACCCTTCCAGATTAAAGAAAACTAGGCCGGCCGGGCACGGTGGCTCACACCTGTAATACCAGCACTTTGGGTGGCGGAGGTGGGCGGATCACGAGATCAGGAGATCGAGACCATACTGGCTAACATGGTGAAACCCCATCTCTACTAAAAATACAAAACATTAGCTGGGCGTGGTGGCGGGCGCCTGTAGTTCCAGCTACTCAGGAGGCTGAGGCAGGAGAATGGCATGAACCTGGGAGGCAGAGCTTGCAGTGAGCTTAGATCACACCACTGTACTCCAGCCTGGGCGATAGAGTGAGACTCCATCTCAAAAAAAGAAAAAGAAAGAAAACGAGGCCGGGCACGGTGGCTTACACCTGTAATCCCAGCACTTTGGGAGGCTGAGGCGGGTGGATCACCTGAGACCAGGAGTTCAAGATCAGCCTGGCCAACATGGTGAAACCCTGTCTTTATTAAAAAATAATAATACAGGCCGGGCGCGGTGGCTCAAGCCTGTAATCCCAGCACTTTGGGAGGCCGAGACGGGTGGATCATGAGGTCAGGAGATCGAGACCATCCTGGCTAACACGGTGAAACCCCGTCTCTACTAAAAAATACAAAAAAACTAGCCGGGTGAGGTGGCGGGCGCCTGTAGTCCCAGCTACTCGGGAGGCTGAGGCAGGAGAATGGCATGGACCCGGGAGGCGGAGCTTGCAGTGAGCTGAGATCCGGCCACTGCACTCCAGCCTGGGAGACAGAGCGAGACTCTGTCTCAAAAAAAAAAAAAAAAATTAAAATTTTTTAAAAATAATAATAATAATACAAAAATTAGCTTGGCGTGGTGGCATATGCCTGTAGTCCCAGCTACTCTGGAGGCTGAGGCATGAAAATCACTTGAACTCAGGAGGCAGAGGTTGAGATGAGCCAAGATCATGCCACTGCACTCCAGCCTGGGCGACAGAGCAAGACTCTGTCTAAAAAAAACAGGCAACACGTGATACTGGGTTGGTTCCTGGATTGGAGGAAATGTTGCCATGAAGGGCATTCTATGTGGGGCATAGTGGCTCACGCCTGTAATCCCAGCACTTTGGGAGGCAGAAGCAGATGGATCACCTGAGGTCAGGAGTTCAAGACCAGCCAGGCCAACATGGCAAAACCCCGTCTCTACTAAAAATACAAAAATTAGTTGGGTATGGTGGCAGGTGCCTGTAATCCCAGCTACTCAGGAGGCTGAAGCAGAATTGCTTGAACTAGGGAGGCAGAGGTTGCAGTGAGCCAAGATCGCATCACTGCACTCCAGCCTGGGCAGCCAGAGTGAGACCCTATCTCAAAAAAAAAAAAAAAAAAAAAAAAAAAAAAACTAATATGGACTATATTTTAGAAACAATTCTTGAATTTTACAATTGCATCATGGTTGTGTAAGATACTGATGTTGTTCTCAAGAAACACAATATAGGCCAGGCTCACGCCTGTAATCCCAGCACTTTGGGAGGCCGAGGAGGGTGGATCACTTGATGTCAGGAGTTCGAGACCAGCCTGGCCAACATGGTGAAACTCTGTCTCAACTGAAAATACAAAAATTAGCCAAGCGTGGTGGTGGGTGCCTGTAATCCCAGCTGCTTGAGAGGCTGAGGCAGGAGAATCACTTGAACCGGGAGGCAGAGATTGTAGTAAGCCAAGATCACACCACTGCTCTCCAGTCTGGGTGGCAGAGCAAGACTTTGTTCCAAAAAAAAAAAAAGAGAGAGAAAGATGAAAGTAATTTTTCAAAATTAGTGAATCTGAAAAAAATTAGACTGTACACTTAATTTATTTTTTATTTTTTAATAGAGACAGGGTCTTGCCATGTTGCCCAGGCTGGTCTCCAACTCCCGAGCTCAAGTGATCCACCTGCCTCAGCCTCCTAAAGTGCTGGGATTACAGGTGTGAGCCACCAAGCCTGGCTTATAGACTTTAAATGGCTGAATTTCATGGTATGGGAATTCTACTTCAATAAAACTGTTAAAAAATTAGTGAATCTTGGTGAAGAATATTCAAAATATAAGATTTTTTTTGATACTATTCTTGCCACACTTCTGTAAATCTGAAATTATTTGAAAATAAAAATCTTTTTACAAAATGGAACAGATATAGTTCTGGGATACCAATAATATTTATTTATTTATTTATTTATTTATTTATGAGACAGAGTCTTGCTCTGTCACCCAGGCTGGACTGTACTGGTGCGATCTCAGCTCACTGCAACCTCTGCCTCCTGGGTTGAAGCAATTCTTGTGCCTCAGCCTCCTGAGTAGCTGGAATTACAGGCGCCCACCACTATGCCCAGCTAATTTTTTGAGTTTTAATAGAGGCAGGGTTTCACCATGTTGCCCAGGCTGGTCTTGAACTCTTTAGCTCAGGCAATCCACCGGCTTCGGTCTCCCAAGGTGCTGAGATTACAGGCGTGAGCCATCGTGCCTGGCCCAATACCAAGTATTTTTCATGATTAACCCATTTATTTAATCTTCACAAACCCAGTATGCCTATGCTGCAGATGAGGAAACCAAGGCATAGAGATGTTTGGCCACTTGCCAAAGGAACACAGAGCCAGTAAGTGACAGCCCTGGAGTAGAAGTCCAGGCTGCCTGGTTCCAGAGTCCCTCCTCTTAACCTCAATGAGGGAAATGGAAGCATTGGTTACTTTCTAGTTCAGTGTTTTTGCATCCATTATGTCATTTGGTCCTTTCAACTCCCCTCAGGAAGTACTTAAATCCCATCATCCCCTTTATCTCATTAGAAACATAGGACTCAGAAAGGTTAAGTCGGCTGGGTGCAGTGGCTCATACCTGTAATCCCAGCACTTAGAGAGGCTGAGGCAGGAGAATCACTTGAGGTCAGGAGTTTGAGACCAGCCTGGCCAACATGGTGAAAACCTGTCTCTACTAAAAATACAAAAATTAGCCAGGTGTGGCCGGGACCGGTGGCTCACACCTGTAATCCTAGCACTTTGGGAGGCCGAGGACAGCGGATCACGAGGTCAGGAGTTCAAGACCAACCTGACCAACATGGTGAAACCCCATCTCTACTAAAAATACAAAAATTAGCCGGGTGTGGTGGCATGCGCCTGTAGTCCCAGCTACTCAGGAGGGTGAGGCAGGCGAATTACTTGAGGTGGAGGTTGCAGTGAGCAAGACTGCACCACTGCACTCCAGCCTGAGTCACAGAGCGAGACTCTGTCTCAAAAAAAAAAAAAAAAAAAAGCCAGATGTGGTGGTGTGCGCCCATAATCCTAACCCCAGCTACTCAGGAGACTGAGGCCCAAAAATTGCTTGAACCTGGGAGGCAGAGGCTGTAGTGAGTGAGATCACACCACTGCACTCCAGCCTGGGTGACAGAGCAAGACTCTGTCTCAAAAAAAGAAAAAAAAAAAAGTTAAGTAACTGGTCCAGGGAGCTCAGCTCATGGGATGATAATGGTTACCACTACTGGCTGCCCTCATAAATCAGAGAGTAGGCTGGTTACGGTGGCTCATGCCTGTAATCCCAGCACTTTGGGAGGCCGAGGTGGGCAGATCACGAGGTCAGGAGATCGAGACCATCCTGGCTAACACGGTGAAACCCTCTCTCTACTAAAAATACAAAAAATTAGCCAGGCATGGTGGCGGGTGCCTGTAGTCCTAGCTACTCGGGAGGCTGAGGCAGGAGAATGGCCTGAACCTAGGAAGCGGAGCTTGCAGTGAGCCGAGATTGTGCCACTGCACTCCAGCCTGGGCGACACAGCCAGACTCCATCTCAAAATAAATAAATAAATAAATAAAATAGGCCGGGCGCAGTGGCTCACACCTGTAATCTCAGCACTTTGGGAGGCTGAGGCGGGCAGATCACAAGGTCAGGAGATTGAGACCATCCTGGTTAACACGGTGAAACCCCGTCTCTATAAAAATACAAAAAGTTAGCCGGGTGTGGTGGTGGGCGCCTGTAGTCCCACCTACTCAGGAGGCTGAGGCAGGAGAATGGCTCAGTGAACCCAGGAGGTGGAGCTTGCAGTGAGCCGAGATCGTGCCACTGCACTCCAGTCTGGGCGACAAGCGACACTTGGTCTCAAAAAAAAAAACAAATAAACAAATAAATAAATCAGAGAGTATACTGAGCTGCTTACACCATTCCTCTCAACAATAACACGAGAGGGATTATAACCCCACTTTATAGGTGAAGAAATAGAGAATCAGAGGCTAAATAATTCCCCCAAGTTTCCAAGTTCAATAAGAAAAACCAACAGTAATAATAAATCAATATGTAAATCAATCAGAGCTAGAATTTCAAGCCCATGCTGTCTGTTAACTTCAAATCCTTCACCTCAACTCTTCCTCCATGTTTCTCAGATCCCCACTGGCCTCTAGAAGGGAAAGTTAATGGTGCTGCAATACAAGGAAAAAGTAAGACGGCCTTCTTGCAGATTCCCCCTCTATCAAAGTCCAAATGAGGACACTGCAGCAAAAAGGGTTGATATCGAGAGAGTAAAGCAACTGGGCAACACAGCTAGATCCTGTCTCTAAAAAATACAAATATTAGCTAGGCATGGTAGTGGACACCTACCCACTAGTCCCAGCTACTTGAGAGGCCGAGGTGGGAGGATCGCTTTAGCCCAGGAGGTAGAGGCTGCAGTGAACCATGATTGCACCACTGCATTCCAGCCTGGGTGACAGAGCAAGACCCTGACTTTAAAAAAAAAAAAAAAAGAAGAAGAAGAAAGGAAAGACCTCCCAACTGCCAAGTAGCTGGGTGGCACTGGAACAAAAAGCACAGAATTCTTTCAGTCCAAGGGTGGGAGGTCAATCAGGGTGGAGACAGGGGACTGGTCTGCATGACCCTAATAGTAGTAAATAATAGCTAACGTGTTGTATCAGACCATTTGCTAAGTGCTATACATTTATGTGATGTTGAAACACTTGACAATACCATGGAGCTTTACAGAGAAGGAAACTAAGACTCGGGTAGATTAAGTCACACAATCAGTAAGCCATGGAGCTGGGATTTAAACCCAAGCAGCCCGACTCCAGAGCACTCCTTTTAAACCATGCTGTCCCGGCCAGGGTCAGGCTCCTGCACCCACCTTGGGAGAGGTGATCTTGATGTAAACAATGATGGGGGCCAGCGAGGTCTTGGACAGCTGGGCTGGGTGATTGATGGTGTCAGCATCCAGAGCAACCAACTGAAGGGTCCGGGCCAGCTCGAAGATTCGCTCGATTTCACTCTGCACCTCAGCTGGGGGCACGGAGTCATGTGGATGGGGGAATGTCAGGTGGCCTCCCAGGAGGTAGTAGGAGGAGGGAACGCTTCTGGAGATGGCCCTGCCCACTAACTCCCACCCCTCCCACGTCCAGCCCAGAAAGGGTGAGTGAAGACAGCAGGGGTGGGCTCACCCAAGCTGGAGCGTGTGTTGGAGCGCTCAATGATGATGTGTTTGCTGGGGTTGTTGAGAACTGAGCGCTTAGCCAGAGAAATGTCTGCCGTCACACGAGTGATGGAGATCCTGGGGAATGGGGCAAGAGGGGAGTCAGGGATCAGAGTGGGCTGGAATGCCCTGCCCACTCCCCAGTTCCAGGCCCGCCTTCTGTTCCTCAGTCCCAGGACCGTGATTCGAGGCATCCGGCCCATCCCCAGCAGCAGAGAGCAATGGCAGGTGCGAGGAGCAGCTCCCAGGGTCTTACCTGCCATCAAACCGATGCTTCAAGAAGTCAAATAAAGCTTTCTGCATCATGTCTGTAACCTGGGGGTGGGGGTTTGTGGGGAGGGAAGGAGGAGAAGGTAGGCATTTAAAGCCACTCAGACTCTGAGCAGCTGGGTATTTGTACCCTCACGTTCCACTTTCTTCCGAACAGGACTTTATGGTGGGCAGGGGTCTGGGTCTGAGGGGTCTCCACTGGGGTCTCTGGTTCCAAAGGTCCCTGTAAGTGGCATCTCTGGGAGGACTTTTCTGGGGGTTCCTTTGGGGGACGGGGTTCCTCTGTGTGGGTCTTCCTGTGGGTTAGGCCCCCTGGGGGTTCTCTCTGAAGGTCTGTAGCCCTCCGGGGAGGATGCCTTGGGATCTAGGCCCTTCTAGGGGATCTCTCTGGGGTCTGAAGATCTTTCTAAGGCCCCTCTGCATCCACTCCCCTCTAGGGAGTCCTACCTCGTAGCCCTTGAGCGACGGTCCCACCAGGATGATGGGCCTCATGGAAGGCACCACGTCATAGGGGGGCACATGCTCTGTCTGGGGGGCAAGCAGGGAGGGGAAACCCCAGAGTGGAGATGATATTAGATCCTCTCCCCCACACGCCAGGCTCCCCCATGCAACCTTCCCCCACCCTGTCCCAGAGCCCAGATGTGGGGATCAGGGTGGGGATGGGGAGGGATGGCCAGGGAGAACCAGGAAAGGTGGGGGAAATGGGGGCAGATGTGGGAATGGGTGTTAGAAGGTCCCCCTAGCTCATCCCAGGGAGTGGGGAGGAGGACACAGAAAGCTGTGATACTCACCGACTTCTGCTTCTGTTTGGCTGGGTCCAGAGATTGCCAAGAGAGGGAAGGGGGAGGAGAGAGGGAAGGGGACCCAGGCAGGGGCAGAGGGCAAGGCAAGAGCCAGGACAAGAGAGGGAGGGAGAGCCGGGCAGACGAGGAGAGATAACAGGGCATGCGTGTTAGTGACAGACAGAGCCAGAGATGGGGAACGGGACCCCACGCCAAGGGGGAGCCAGATGTGGCCCTGGATCAGGACTGACAGTCCAGTGGATGTGGGAATATTCAGACATATCCTACCCTCTTCTGAGTCTTGGAAAAGAGCTGGTGAGGTTGACAGCCCCTACCTTGGTGCCCACCTCCTGCCCCCAGTGCATGCCAACCTGCCCATTTTAAGGGTTCCCTTAACTGTCTTGCTTTGCAGTCAGCAGTCCCCCCCATCCACTATGTGCCCACCCAATCAAAAAAGGGCAAAGAAGGAATGCCATCCCATGCCCTGCTTCACATGCCAGGATAGATGCCAACACCGGAGCAGGCCCCTGGGAGTGAGGGGAGAGGTCAGGGTTCATGACCACCAAACCCTGCTGCCCCAGGTGTGGGGGCAACCTTCCAGGGGCAAGATCTCCTTCCTGGAGATGGGGCCAGGGCGGAGTTGTGTGTGGAGAGGGATGTACCCATGCTACCCTTCCCTCCACCTCAGCAGGAAGCCCTGATGCCCACAGAACAGACCACATCTGAATCCATTACAGCCCCCTTTCCTCCACCAAAGTGCTGGCCCTGACTCCCCCACCTTTTGCAAGAACACAGCGAGAATTACCTTCTTAAAGAAGGGGATGCGTTTGCCATGGGGTGGCGGGGTGGTGACACTGCTAACACTAGTCTTGGCAGAGCCACTCTGCTCACCAAGCTCGGCCTCTTCCTCCTCTAACTCTAGGGGGTCTAGTTCAAAGGCTAAGTTAGTCATTTCATTACCTGGACCGGAGAGTCAGGAGAGAGGGAGGAGGGAGGCGAGGTGGGGAGAAGGAGTGAGATGAACGTGGAGACACAAGTACAGAACGCAGGGATGGGGATGGGGAAAAAAGAAAGAAGAAGAGGTGAATGGAAGAGGGCTGGGAGAAATGAATGGGGACGGGGCAGGGGAATCAGGCAGAGAGATGGAGCTACCAAAGAAAGGGGAGAGGAGAGACATGACAGGCCCAGCTTGAGGGGTATCCTACTCTTCATGGAGGGGGAACCATTGCATGTGCTTGGGGGACTCAGGATTGGGGTGTTTCCTACTGCAGGGAAAGGAGGAGTCAGGGAGTTGGGAGACCACCCCACCCAGGAGCTCCTCCCCAACCCCCTGCATGGCGATGGTTCTTACCACTGGCAGGGGGTGTGGGGCGGCGGGTGCCAGTCACCACATCTCCCAGACTGGAACTGGAGTTATCGCCTGATTTGCTGTGTGGGCAAAGGCAAACCGAGGTTGTGAGCAAAGAGGTGGGCATGGGGGGATCTCATCCTCTCACATGGGGCACCCCTGGAGGTGCTCCGGCCCCACTGGTGATGCTACAGGCAGCTCTGTGCCCTCAGGGCCAGGGGCAACCACTGAGGCCTAGTCCAGGCTGTATGGCCTCTCCAACCCCTTCCCCTGCCCCACCCAGACACCTGGAGCTGAGGCGGTTCTGGCGCAGCTTCTGTTCCTGCAGCAGGCGAAGGCTGTCCAGTTTGACGGGGCTGGGAATGAAGCCAACCTCACAGCCCTCCTTCACCAGCCGCCCGATCCACCAGTCATTATTGTATTTCTGCAAAGAACATGGCAGGTGGATGGAAAGTCCAAGAGGGAAACTGCAGGGGCAAGCTAACAGTCACTCTCCAGGGGAAACGCCCAGACTCGCCTCCCTGCCCAGGGGTGGCACCCTCAAAGATCCCCAGCCCCGGCTCCAGCCTCTGAGTGGAGCTGCCAATTCTCAGGACAACTCCAGGACCAGCATGCTTTCTGGCCATGGACCACCCTGCCACCGGCCCAGTGCAATTCTGAGAGTCCTTCTTCTCCCCATGTGCCCACCCTACTCTAGAAAGGCCACCCGAGTAAATGCAGGTACCTGCATGTCCCTGGCACACCGCCACGCCGGTTCGGGCCCCCTGACAAACCCTCCCAACAATCTTCTGACCTAAGCATTACCACCCCATTTTTCCGGTAGAAAATTAAGAGGCTCAGAGAGGTGGAGAGATTTGTCCAAGGTCACACAGCAGATTCAGCCCGGCTCTGCTTGGCTCAGAAGTCTTTTGTCCACTAGCACTCTGGCTGCCTGTCTCCTGGCACCCACTCCCTTGTTCTCCCTCCAGATACCCACCTCCTTGATGTGCAGGAAGTCTTTGGGCTCAAAGGTAATGGCCACTCCCTGCACAGGCACCTCATCCCCTGGAGACGGATTGTAGCCCACATTTGTCCGCACGGCAAATGCCACTGGCTTGGTCTAGAGGAGGCACACCGGGAAAATGGCAACTAGAGGGTAAACCACAATGTAATGTACAACTTCCTGACAGGGGTGGTGGTTACTTGGATGTTTGCATTGTAATTGTTCATTGAAATGTGTATGGACACGGGCAGGGTGTGGTGGCTCACACCTGTATTCTCAGCACATTGGGAGGCCAAGGTAGGTGGATCATCTGACGTTAGGAGTCCGAGACCAGCCTGAACAACATGGTGAAACCCCATCTCTACTAAAAATACAAAATTAGCCAGGCGTGGTGGTGGGTGCCTATAATCCCAGCCATTCAGGAGGCTGAGGCAGGAGAATTGCTTGAACCTGGAAGGCAGAGGCTGCAGTGAGCCGAGGTCATGTCACTGCACGCCAGCCTGGACGACACGGCAAGACTCCATTTCAAAACAAAAACAAAATGTATACTGACACTTTGGGAGGCCAAAGCAGGTGGATCACTCGAGACCAGGAGTTTGAGACCAGCCTGGTCACATGGTGAAACTCTGTCTCTACTAAAAATACAAAAAAATTAGCTGTGCATGGTGGCGCACACCTGTAATCCCAGTTACTCAGGAGGCTGAGGCATGAGAATCATTTGAACTCAGGAGGCAGAAGTTGCAGTGAGCCGAGATGGCACCACTGCACTCCAGCCTGGGCGACAGAGCAAGACTCTGTCTCAAAAAAAAAAAAAAAGGCTGGCACAGTGGCTCACGCCTGTAATCCTAGCATTCTGAGAGGCAGAGGCAGGTGGATCATGAGGTCAGGAGTTCAAGAGCAGCCTGGCCAACAGGGTGAAACCCCGTTGCTACTAAAAATACAAAAATTAGCTGGGTGCAGTGGCAGATGACTGTAATCCCAGCTACTCGAGAGGCTGAGGCAGGAGAATTACTTGAACTCAGGCAGCAGAGGTTGCAGTGAGCCAAGATCATGCCACTACACTTCAGACTGGATGGCAGAGTGAGACTCCGTCAAAAAAAAAACGGTATACCAAATTGGCTTGTGTGGTTTTCTCCATTTATATTAACTTCTACAATAAAAAACAAGAAAGCAAAATGTGGAATTCAGCCCTCTCAGGGTAGAGGCGGGGCACTGAGGAATGAAAAGGGTTGGGGGTGGGGAGGCCCACAATGATACCCAGAAAAAATAATAATAATAGCAGGCCAGGCACGGTGGCTCACTCCTGTAATCCCAGCACTTTGGGAGGGCAAGGCGGGTGGATCACTTGAGGTCAAAAGTTCGAGCCTAGCCATGACTAACATGGTGAAACTCCGTCTCTACTAAAAATACAAAATTAGCATGGCGTGGTGGCACATGCATGTAATCTTGGCTACTTGGAAGGCTGAAGCAGGAGAAATGCTTGAACCTGGTGGGTAGAGGTTGCAGTGAGCTGAGATGGTGCTATTGCACTCCAGCCCCGGCAACAAGAACAAAACTCCATCTCAAAAACAAAACAAAATAAATAAATAAAATAATAGTAACAGGCCGAGTGCAGTGGCTCACCCCTCTAATCCCAACACTGAAAGGCTGAGGCAGGTGGATCATGAAGTCAGGAGTTCGAGATCAGCCTGACCAACATGGTGAAACCCCGTCTCTACTAAAAATACAAAAATTAGCCGGGCGTGGTGGCGCACCTGTAATCCCAGCTACTCAGGAGGCTGAGGCAGGAGAATCACTTGAATCTGGGGGGTGGAGGTTGCAGTGAGCAGAGATCGCGCCATTGCACTCCAGTCTGGGCAATGGAGCAAGACTCCATCTCAAAAAATAAATAAATAAATAAATAATAATAATAATAATAGCAGCCAGGCACAGTGGCTCATACCTGTAATCCCAATACTGGCTTGAGGCCAGGAGTCTGAGACCAGCCTGAGCAATATAGTGACATCCTGTCTGTTTTTTATTTGTTTGTTTTGAAACGGAGTTTTGCTCTTGTTGCCCAGGGTGGAGTGCAATGGCGCAATCTCGGCTCACCACAAACTCTGCCTCCTTGGTTCAAGCCATTCTCCTGCCTCAGCCTCCCAAGTAGCTGGGATTACAGGCATGTACCACCATGCCCGGCTAATTTTTGTATTTTTAGTAGAGATGGGGTTTCTCCATGTTGGTCAGGCTGGTCTCAAATGCCTGACCTCAGGTGATCGCCTCCCAAAGTGCTAGGATTACAGGCGTGAGCCACCGCACCCAGCCAACCCTGTCTGTTTTTAAAAAATAAAAGGGGCAGCTGGGAACGGTGGCTTACGCCTGTAATCCTAGCACTTTGGGAGGCCAAGGCGGGCGGATCACAAGGTCAGGAGTTTGAGAACAGCCTGGCCAACATGGTGAAACCCCGTCTCTACTAAAAATACAAAAAAATTAGCTGGGCATGGTGGCGGGCACCTATAATCCCAGCTATTTGGGAAGCTGAGGCAAGGAGAACCAATTGAACCTGGGAGACGGAGGCTGCAGTGAGCTGAGATCGCACCGCTGCACCCCAGCCTGGGTGGCAGTGCGAGACTCTATCTCAAAAATAAATAAATAAATAAAAGGGGCTGGGCACAGTGGCTCATGCCTGTAATCCTAGCACTTTGGGAGGCTGAGGCAGGAGGATCACTTGCACCCAGGAGTTCAAGACTAGCCTGGAGCGGCGGATTAGCCTGCGCGGGGCAAAATGGAGCTCGAGGCCATGAGCAGATACACCAGCCCAGTGAACCCGGCTGTCTTCCCCCATCTGACCGTGGTGCTTTTGGCCATCGGCATGTTCTTCACCGCCTGGTTCTTCGTTTACGAGGTCACCTCTACCAAGTACACTCGTGATATCTATAAAGAGCTCCTCATCTCTTTGGTGGCCTCACTCTTCATGGGCTTTGGAGTCCTTTTCCTGCTGCTCTGGGTTGGCATCTACGTGTGAGCGCCCAAGGGTAACAACCAGATGGCTTCACTGAACCCCTGCTTTTGTAAATTACTTTTTTTTTACTGTTGCTGGAAGTGTCCCACCTGCTGCTCATAATAAAGGCAGATGTATGGAAAAAAAAAAAAAAAAAAAAAAAAAAAAAAAACTAGCCTGGGCAACATAGCAAGATCCCATCTCTACGAAAAATAAAAAATCAGCCAGGTGTGGTGGTACGCCTCTATAGTTCCAGCTACTCGGGAGGCTGAGATGGGAGGATCACTTGAGCCTGGGAGGTCAAGCCTCCAGTGATCCGTGATCACACCACTACACTCAGCCTGAGTGACAGAGCGAGACCCTGTCTCATAAAAAATAATAAATATTTAAATTTATTTATTATTATGTTTTTTGAGACAGGGTCTCGCTCTGTTGCCCAGGCTGGAGTGCAGTGGCGCAATCTCGGCTCACTCCAGTCTCCGCCTCCTGAGTTCAAGCGATTCTGATGCCTCAGCCTCCTGAGTAACTGGGATTAGAGCGTACGCCACCACACCCAGCTAAGTTTTGTATTTTTAGTAGAGACGGGGTTTCACCATGTTGCCCAAGCTGGTCTTGAACTCCTGACCTCAAGTGATCCGCCCAACCCGGCCTCCCAAAGTGCTGGGATTACAGGCGTGAGCCACTGAACCTGGCCTAAAATTAAATTAAAAAAAAAAACAATAATGACAGTAATGACCATTTAGTGTCCCAGGTACCATGTTACATGCTTCACACATATTCTCTCATTTATATTCATCACAAAAATAAAAAATCCTCTGAAGTTAAGTGGTATTATCTTCATTTTAATGTGAATTTCCTAAGATCACACAGCTATTAAGAGTCAGGACTAGAGCCTGTAATCGCAGCACTTTGGAAGACTGAGGCTGGCTGATCACCTGAGATCAGGAGTTCAAGACCAGCCTGACCAACATGGAGAAACCCCATCTCTACCAAAAATACAAAATTAGCCGGGCATGGTGGAGCATGCCTGTAATCCCAGCTACTCAGGAGGCTGAGGCAGAAGAATTGCTTGAACCCCGGAAGGGAAGGTTGCAGTGTGTCGAGATCGCGCCATTGCACTCTAGCCCGGGCAACAAAAGCGAAACTCCGTCTCAAAAAAAAAGAAAAAAAAAAAAAAAAGAGTCAGGACCAGGATTCCAACCCAGAGGAAGTTTGATTCCAGGAAGACGTGGAGATTTTAGCACTGTCCCGGCACAGTGGCTCACGCCTGTAATCCCAGCACTTTGGGAGGCTGAGGTGGGCAGATCACTTGAGGTCAGGAGTTTGAGACTAGCCTGGCCAACATGGTAAAACCGCGTTTCTACTAAAAATACAAAAATTAGCCGGGCGTTGTGGTGCACGCCTGTAATCCCAGCTATTCGGGAGGCTGAGGCAGGAGAATCACTTGAACTTGGGAGGTGGAGGTCGCAGTGAGCTGAGATCACGCCACTGCATGCCAGCCTGGGTGACAGAGCAAGACTGCATCTCAAAAAAAAAAAAAAAAAAAGAAAAAGAAATTTTTAACACTTCTCAAGCGCTTATTGTGTGTGGAAACAGTATAATAACAGGCACTTATTATACTTATTATACTGTATAACCAGGCAGGTATTATAGCCCACGTTGTGCAGGTGAAGACAGAGACGCAAGGTTCAGGGGTACTAGGAAGTGGCTGAGTCAAGACTTGGCCCTGGGTCTGCCCGGGCTCTCTCTACGGCCCAGGGAAATCATGCCAGCACGCCCCTTCCCACATCTTTCTCACCTTGGCCTTCTCGAGCTGCGCTAATGCCTGGCGCTCTGCTTCTTTCCTTAAGGCTTCCCGGTCCTCCTCCAGAGATACATCAGAGTCCGATGGACGGCTGGTGTAGGACTCCGCTGAGCCCTGAAAATACAGAGAGCCAGATCAGGGCCATTGCTGCCTCTCCCAGCTCCTGGGCCTGGGAAGGCATGGAGGTGCCACCCATCATGGATGCCTCTAGCCCCAGCCAGCCCAGCATGACGCCACAAGGGCTAAGAGAAGGTGGTATTAGGTGGAAGGGACCAGGAGCTGAGATTTCTCAGGCCCCTGGGGAAAGTGTGGCCCTAGTGAGGGTGACAGCAGCAAGCAGGAGATGAAGGCAGGCCCAAGGACAGCTGCTTGGGGCCCAGGGAGGGGTGGGAACCTGATAGGGGCACAAGGCAAGGGAGGAATGCCAGGGACGAGTCTCTACTCCCACTGCTCCTTCCCTCCCCTGCCCCCAGCACCCACTGAGATAGACTCAGCCGAGGTCCAGTGGCATCCATTCCAGGGACTGCAGCCACCAGCTTTGGCCTGAGCTTTCTGCACTATCAGCCGCGGATGGCCTGCTCCACAGGATGGGGCCACCACAGATTTTGCCAACTTCTGTTCAAGGGTAGAGGGAGATAGACTCCTACCTCCCCTGCTCCTTTAGCTGGTACTGCCAGAATCAAACTTCACTACTTAGAGCCCCAATCCTCAGGCTCTCCTAGGACACAAGAGAACCCAAGATTTCCAGGCTGGTGCAGACTGAAGAGGCAAGTTAAGAGCAGGATATGGGACAGGGCTTTCCCTGAGATGAGGGCTGCTGGGTGCCAGGCAGCTGGCTTTGACCACAGTGACCAACCCAGAGCACGAGGGACTCCTTTAGGGATGCACACATATGTGTAAGACACATGTCGCCCATACAGACCTGGTAGTGGGAATGCATGTGCTTATTCACGTGTGTGCGAGGATGTGCAAGTACAAGTGTGTGGAGGAGGGCGTGCTCTATAGTTGGCTACATATGACCACATGTGTAGAGCCACATGCGAGTGTATTGGCGGGGGCCTCCCAGATATCTATGACCCTGAGGGTGGGGGACATGTGAGGGCAGGAGTAAGGAAGTGTGGATTCGTGTGACTATGTGGGAGTGGTGTTGGACAAGGCATAGGAGGTTATGTGGCAAAAGAGGAGGACTGCAGAGATATAGGGGTTCTTTCCTGAGGGTATAAAAGGGTCACTTGGCCAGGAATGTCCATGAGTTTGGCATGGAGGGGACCTGGGAAAGACAGAAGACAAAGTCCCACCTCTCCCCAGGGGCCCCAGGTCATTAGCTGGTGCAGCTCCCCATCTCTTTCCCAGCCAAATCATGAAAATGGGAGACCCGCGGGGGAAGGGTTGGGGTGGGGCGAGAGGCATGAAGGAGGGAGAGAAAACCAGCGTAGCTCCCACTCTCCACCCTGATGGGAGCACACAGAGTCAAAGAGCCAGGGAAACAGGGAGACAGACTAGCAGAGAGGCACTCATCGACCCCAACACACATGCGGGCACGCGCATTCACACACACACACTCACCAACTCCAACACAGACGCAGGCCCATGCACACGCACACTCACCGACCCCAACACACACACAGTTACATGCACACACGCAGACACACATGTGCGGGCAGACACACACACACATATGCAGACACACAGGTGCACGCGGATGCACACGTAGGCACATGCACACATACACATATGCAGACACACGCATGCGCATACACACGCATACATCAGAAATGGCAGAAGACAGGAAACAGTGAGGAGGCATGGAGACAGGCTGGAGGAAAGGCCGCCCTCCGCCAGCTTTCCTGAGAGGCTGTTCTACCCGCCGCCACCCCACTCCATCCCCAGCTCACCACCACCAGGGTCCGGCTGGGCGCCTCCATCCCGGCGCCCTCAGTGCCTGGCCCTGCTGGCCTAGGGGGTGGCCCAAACTGCCCGTTCCCTCGGGGGCTCAGGTTACAAGCAGAGTTGCTACATGTGCAAACTGCTAGGGTATATTTAGCTCAGAGATGTGGCAAGGACTGCTCCCCCACCACTCCCCACCACCTACCGGGGATCAGAGCTGGGGAGCTAAAAGGAGGAAGAACTGGAGGCTGGGGTCTGACTCCCTGGGTTGGCAAACACTGAAGGAGCCAAGGTCCTTTTCTGCCAAGAGGGGCAATAAAAGCACAGCGTCATTCTTCCTAGCCCTGGCCAAGTCCTGCAACAGGAGGGATGAGGGAGTGATTGAAGAAAGGACTTCCTGTCTGTTCCTATACTTAGAAAAGACTAGAATGAAGCCTCCCCTTCCCGAAGCTCCCAAGTCAGACTGAGGCTCACATGTGCCAAGTGCTGTAGAGACAGAAGAATCAGAAAGAAGGGCCTCACTCTAATTAGTGGTGGATCTGCCTGGCATCACTCTCGCTCCTGGCCCAAGGTGGAAGGGAGGGGCTCATCTCCAGAGGACCCCTCCTCTGTGCTGTCTTCTGCCCTCGAATGCCCTGCCCATTTCCTCTTCAATGCACGCCTTTTCCTTGTCTAATTCCAAGCCCCTCTCGCCTTTTTTGGGTACCAGGCTTTGGTGAGATGCTAAGTAGTCATAGCAACCACATGCCTCTCTCCGTGCCTCACCCTGAGCCTAAGATGGCTCAGGATTGACAGAGAGATAAGAGCAGCCACTTACTGACCGAGCACAGGAGACCCCAGAAAGCTACTCTCAGTTACACCCTTTCAGGCAGTGGTGCTGCGCTACCGTCTTCTCTATTATAAAATTAACAGCCTCATGCCTCAACCACCCCCATCCCCGTCACCATCACCCTTTCTCTGTGCTTCTTAGATAGTCAAGTCTTGAGGTGAGGAGCGTGTTTCCCTGACCAGGACCTCACCAGGACTACAGGGACCCAAACATCCTCGCTCTGCTTTTCCTAGGACCTGCCTCCACCCCACCCTGTCACAGATTCTGGGGGAGGACATGGAAGCAGACAGCCGGCAGGGGGAGTGGGTGACAGCCCGAAGCAAGCTAGAGGGAGGCAGGCCAGGCTGTCCCTGAATGAGATGACGCAGGCCAGCAGGCAGCAGGGGAGGGTGCCTGGTGCTGGGGGAGGGGCCGGGCAGGGGCGGGGGCTGAGCGAGTGGGTGCAGCTGACAGCACATCCAGGAGAGGTCATGGGGTGTCAGGGTGATGGGGTGGCTCCAGGAAGGTGACAAATGGCACAGGGAAGGGTGCCTGGAGAATACCGCAGACCTGGCTCACCAATGCTGGTCTCTACCAACCGGCCACCTCCCTCCTCTCTGCCCAGCCTCCCCATTACCTGGCGGACAAAGCTGTTGGATGTGGTATCTGAGGACGTGCTCCCATCCGACCGTTTGAATCGCCCTTTCCTCTTGCTGTATTTGCCCTGGAGAGGCCAGGAAAGGAACAAGAGTAGAATCAGAAGGGCCCTTTCCCAACCCTCATCTTGCCAGCCCCAGAGCTACAGCCAAGCTCGGGAACAGCATTCCCAGATCCGAAGAGCCCTACCCCCAAGCCCCTGCACCTTCCTCCTGAGGTGGTGCGGCCCAAGGGGAGGGAGGGTCTCCCATCCTCATAGAGAGGACCCAGAGCACAGCCAGGAGTGGGGACCAATGCAAGAGAGCCCTGGGAGGCCCACATGGAAACCCCCAAACCAAGCTAGAGAGGCTGGGAATGGGGGAGGCACGGAGAAGCTGGAGGCTCATTAGGCAGCAGAGCTAATTAAGATGCTGGGCAGGCTGCAGAGGCCTCCGAGGAAGGGAGAGGCAGCCGGCAGTGCTGGGTGTGCGGGGCGGGGGGAGAGAGCGGGAAAGTCCCCCCCCACTCCCCCTCCGCAGGAGCAGAGCAGGGCTGTTTATGTTGGTGGCCCCCAGAGAGGAGGAACTGCCAACCCAGGGCCCAGCCTGGCTTCTCCCCTGTGCCCAACTCTTCCTTTGCTATTCACAGAGTAGGGAGGGGATGACAGCTCTCTTGGAGACTCAGAGCCAGATTTCTGGGGAGGGAGTAGGGGCATGGAACTGTATTTGGAGAGTAAATATCCAGCCCGATCCCTGGCACCATAGGGGCAGATTTTGCTTCCCACTCTCATCCCTTGCCCCGACAGGACTTTTTCTCAGCTCCCTCTCTCACAATCACAGTAGCTACAACCCTCCCCAAGGAGGCAAGAGGGATGAAGCTTCTACCCTGTGGCCCCCAGCTGCCACTGCCAACGCCCCATGTGCATGGTACCCATCAGGCTATATCAATCTAAATGTCCCTCGGCCCCACCCCACATGAGCCTAGGACACAGCCCCACAGATCCCTAGCGGGTAGACTGGCTGGCTCAGTCTCACAGACCCAGCTCCTGGCTCAGCCTGACCATTGAGGAAGCAACACGTTCAGGTTAAGGGCGTCAGGTATTTCCAGGCCTCCTGTAAGAAGAGCTGCTTCTGGCCCTCCCCATCTCGTAGGCGCACACACACTTGGCCTCAGCCCAGTCCAGAACGGGGAGAGTGAGTGAGGGCTCAGACTTCCAAGTCCCTGCTCTTGGTCTCCATCCTAGACCTTCTTTGGCCAAAGAACCTGGAGGGGCCATGACCAGACTGGGGGCTTTGGCTGCTGGGATCAGGGTACAAGAAAGAGGATGGAAAATGGGAGAGGAGGGCACCTGGGGACCTTTCCAAGATCCTCCTCTCCCCACTCGTCTCTCAAACCAGACATATACCCCAACTCTAGTTCTGGCGCTCCCTACAAACCTAAGAGGATTCCCCAGTGAATCCCAGACACCACCCTCCCCCTGCACTGCCAGGCTGGGCAAAGGGAGTGGCACTCAGAGGGACAGGGGACAGCTGAAAGGAAGGCCCCAGTCAGCTGCCTCCCAGGCTCAAAGGGGCCTGGGGTGGAGGAAGGTATTTTTAGGTCTGACTTGACCCCTCTACATACCCATCAATCACATTATCATGGTGGTTACAGCTGGTGGCCACAGTAACAGAAGAGTTAATGCTATCCTTGGAGAAGGACAGTCCCAAAGAAATCCCCTGGCGCGACCATCCCAGAGCCTGCTGGTCACCCCATGGGAACCCACCGCGCCCAAGAATGCCACTTCCTAGGGGTTACCAGGGGCGTAAGAAAAGTGTGCGGGTGGGGATGGAGAAGTAGCCCCTCCCCCAGGTAAAACAGCTCTTCCCCCTGCCGGGCAGTGAGTTGGCATCCATCCAACTTTCCAAACTTTGGAGGCGTTTTCAGGGCGGGGGTGGGGGTGGGGTAAGTCAACGTGGGTGTTGGGGGAGGGGAGCAGGTCCGACATGGAGATGGAGCCCAGGTGGCTGGGAGGGGACCTCGCCCGGAGTTGGCTCTTTCCCCACCCTCAAGATCCAGTGTCTGCGGCTCTGAAGGCCTGTTTGCATTTGGCACCGCCCTCTGACCATCGCCTCGGCCACCTCCTCGTGCCACCCCCGCCCCACCCACACCCGCCTGGCGCCCCCGAGCGTGCTCTGCGTCGCCCCCCTTGCCTGGCTCGCTTTCTAGCCTCCTTCAACCTCCCCTTCTCAAGGCCCAGATCCCACCACCACCAGCACCCCTACGCTCAGCCCACTGAAGCTGGTGCCCAAGCGGCAGAAACCTTGACGCGGGGGAGACAAGGAGGCGAGGGTGACAGGCAGCCCACCCGCCCCCTCCCCGCTCCGCAGCATCGCCACCCAGCCCCAGGCCCAGAGCCCATCAATCACAACCTGCAAGGATCGGGGACGCGCAGGCATCCCTCTCCCCTTCGCGCCCGGCATATAACCCCTTCCTCTCCCGCGCCTTTCGAGCCGACCTCAACACTGTCCGTGGGAGCGGCCCCCTCCTCTCGGGCCGGGCCACCACGCCTCACCTGCGGGCTGGGGTCGAAGACCTCCATGGGGATCTCCTGGGAGGGTGGGTAAGGGCCCCGGGACATGCCGGTCTTCTGGACCATGGAGAGGAGCCTCCCCTCCCGCCGCCGGCCCGGCCCAGCCGGGCGCCCTCAGCGCATGGGAGAGGCCGTGGGAGCCGAAAGCAGCGCGGCACAGCCAGCACCCGGTCCAGCCACCCAGCTCGGCCTTCGGCTGCCTCCTTCCTGCCTTCCCTCGCTCCTCCCGCTCTCTCCACTGCCGCCGCCGCCTCCCCAGCAGGCTCAGCATCTCCCCGCGCCCCTCCCTCGCTCCCTCCCTCCGCCCGCCCCGGCCCCGCCCCTCGCAGCCCCTCCTCCGGCTCGGCGCACACAATGGGCGTGCGGCAAGCTGGGAGGAAAGCGCCTCTCGGCTCTAGAGGGCCGCAGGTGGGCCTCTGACTGGCTGTGGGGTGCAGGCGGCCCGCTGGGGCGGGAAGGGAGAAACTAGGCGTGGATACTTGGGGAAGGGGTCGGGGGTCGGTCTACCAGTGGATGCCGAGCGCTGATGGGGATGAAGCGCGGACTGGCATGGCTAGCACCGCCCCCTTTTGTCTCAAACCTATCTTCCTGCGGGTCCCCCCAACCCACTCCTGTTTGGGCCACCAGAACTTCCCGGTCCCGGTGATCCTGGGACCTGGCTTTAACTCCTTTCTCCCCAGTGCGGGGCCCAGGCTGCCTTAAACCAAACAGAAAAGCCTCTACCCCTCCAACATGGCTCTGGGGCTGCCGGTGGGAGGCTGAGGCTGAGATGGGGACGGTGTCCAACAGCGACAGCAAAAGAAATCCCAGGGGTCCAGGAGTTCTGCCCTAATCGGTCACTAGGATACACGCCCCCACCCCTGACCCGCTCTTCCAAAAGGCCATGAATGGGGCTGGGCGAAGTCCCTGCTGTTGGATGAGAAAAGAGGAAGCAATATGGAGCCGAGAAAGAAGAGGCTGGTAAAATCAGATCTCATGACCTTTGACCTAGAATTGCTCCACCTTTACCCCTGATTTAGGGACAAACATCCAAGGTCTGGACTCCACCCACCAAGACAGGTGGATAGAGGAGGAATAGGAGATTCTGGGCAATAGACCCTGGTGCCAATTTGGCTCAGGCTGTTTCTGGTTGTATAGCCCTGGACAAACCACCTCTCTAAGCACCAGTTTTCTCCTCTCCTATAAAATGTGGTTGCTGGCACTGTGGAGTCTGTGTCACCTGGGATTATTGGGAGGATGAGGGAATTAAATGAATTGCTAGGGTGTTTGGAGAAGCTGTAAGTTTCAATGAAGGAGTCAGCCATTCCCTCCCTACTCCACCCCCGCTCCACAGAAAGGAGAAGTGGAGAAGACCCTCTCCAGGTCAAGTGACCTTAAAATAAGGCCACCAGCTTGCTGTGTTCTGCAGGAGAGGAGACTATGGGACTCCTCCTCCTCACCTGTGATAACAAATGAATGGCCGCTCTGTCATTCCTCTGATCACAACACCTTCGGGAAGGAGGAGCAGTGAGTGAAGATAAAGCCCATTAGAAACATTCCAGGAGAGCTCCAATCCTGAGCACGGCTTCCACCTGACCCTTGGAGAGGAGAAAGCCTGGCATAACCGCAAAAGCATGGGCTTTGCAATCAGAAATACCTGCGTTCTCAATCTGTTACCTCAGCTGTAAAATGAGGGCAACGCTAATTGTGTTGTTGTGAGGAAGTAGCATAAATGTTGATTCCCTTTCTCTTTCTTCTACTTTCTCAGCCAGGAAAGTTGAGATGAAACGGATAGGGTGATCAGCGGGAACCAATGATGAGTTGGAGCCTCAATTCAGATGTAGACTTCTTAAACCCCAGAATGCTCTCCTTGGATTTTTGCATTGGGTGTTCCAGATCAGAAGAAAAGAACTGAGTGGTCCTGCCTTTTTTTTTTTTGAGACGGAGTCTCACTCTGTTGCCCAGGCTGGAGTGCAGTCGCACAATCTCGGCTCACTGCAACCTCCGCCTCCTGGGTTCAAGCGATTCTCCTGCCTCAGCCTCCCCAGTAGCTGGAATTACAAGCACGCGCCGCTACGCCCGGCTAATTTTTGTATTTTTAGTGGCGACAGGGTTTCGCCATGTTGGCCAGGCTGGTCTCGAACTCCTGATCTCAAGTGATCCACCCGCCTTGGCCTCCTTTGCAAAGTGCTGGGATTACAGGCGTGAGCCAGCGAGCCCGGCCCAATTTTTTTTTTTTTTTTTTAATTTTACTTTCTGCAATCATTCATCCATTCAGCCAGTGCAGTATTTCTCAGGTGTGTTCGATCGCGGATCCATGCCTACCGCAGTAGAGCTGTGAGCCAAAGGAGACTACGAGACTAGTTCTCGCCCTCCAAGAGCTTGCTGTCTTAATGCCTTCCTTTGCTAATTGCAAATGTTACCTCACGTAATTTCCACAACTGATGATAGAAACATTGGGATTAGGTCCACTTTACAGAGGAGGAAATTGAGGCACCAAGAAATTAAAGACCCGCAGCAGCGTAAAAACACTAACATCTTTTAGTGATCTATTCTGCACTCTAGGGGTTTTCAATCTACTAAGAGAGTGAATAAGAGGTCGCCTTTGTCTGATACCTGTTGTCATTCTCTCTCGCTTCTTCAACTGACTTTTTTTCTCAGCTAATAAAGCATCCACCCATAACCGGCCGAACGCCCGCAAACACCAAGCTACTCTAGCAAAACCTCTCTCACTCCGCCTGCGCAATCCAGCTGACTTCCGGTTAAAATAACCACGTGATCGCGTACCCTTGCTGCGCATGTCTAGTAGGAAGTCGGACTATACCACTTTCCCTACGGAAGGGGTACATTTTCTATGTTTTTAAGTTTAAAACCGATTTCTGATATTAGGCTTTTATCATTTCAGGCCTATACGGAGGCTATGAGTGAGTTTGGTGTGGCGGAAGATGAAAGAACCGGACGGGAATACGGACGAAATTGGAGAGGGGGTTGGGCTCTCCCCTTCTCAGATAATGGGAGGAGCCGGTCCCGAGGAGCTCTTTCCTTTCGCTGCTGCGGCCGCAGCCATGAGGTGAGGGCGTGTTGATCTCCCACAGGCGCTGACGCTTTTCGGCGGGGGACTGTTGGGCTTGGGACCGCAGCCGGGGTTGGGGGAGATGAAATGGAGGCCGCCCTAAAGCGGCCGGTCCCGGGGTTTGGGGTAGGCCGGAGCACTCTCGTCCCGGGCCTCCGGGGTGGGGGGGGGGCGGGGAGCGTCGCAGCAACTGAGACCCGGAAAAGGCTGCCTCGGGTGGCGGTGCGCCGCACATGTGTCGGGTCGACCCACACGAGCAAAGCAAACGTAGCGAACGGGACCGAGCCTTGGACCCTTTCTTGCTTGGCACGCCCGGAGCGGAGCAGATCTGTGCTTTCACGTGATCTAGGGCAAGCCTAGTGTAGGCCCCAGGCCTCCGACTGCCGAGAGACGTGATCTCTAACTCTTGACGCCTTCCACTCCTTTGGCCATTCATAAAGGAAATCTCTACAAATGGCCGAACGAGGCTTGTTACTGTGATAAAACGGGAAAATGAGCCCAGAAAACATTAACTTGCCTGCATTGCTAGACTAGAAATCAGGTCTACTCGCCTCGAATATTTTTCAAACGCTGAATACCAGAAATGGCATAAGCCCCCTATTCATTCCAGTAAATCCTTAACTTGACTTTTCAGAGAAGAAATGCGAACATGAGGCTCCAAGAGGTGAAGGCATAGCGTGGGCTTTGAAGTCTAAACCCAAGGGGACCAGCTGCACAGCCCAGAGCCTTAAAGATGATTTAGGGAAGAGTCTTATTTCGCGGCTGTCGTGTGGGTCGCAGAGGGCAGGTCTTGATGGGGACTTTCGTTCTTGCCCACGAGTGGCTTTCAGAGTCTAATCATGTTTTCTGTGTGTCTAGTATGCTCAGGCTTCAGAAGAGGCTCGCCTCTAGTGTCCTCCGCTGTGGCAAGAAGAAGGTCTGGTTAGACCCCAATGAGACCAATGAAATCGCCAATGCCAACTCCCGTGAGTACCTGGGATCTGTCTCTTCACCCTACTTCCTTCTTTTGTCCTGCGTCATAAGAACACAGTTGTGTTGACTTTTTTTTTTTTTTTTTTTTTTTTTTGAGACAGTCTTGTTCTGTTGCCCAGGCTGGAGTGTAGTGCCATCTCATCGTTGCAACCCGTCCTCCCAGGCTCAAGTGATTCTCCCGCCTCAGCTTCCTGAGTAGCTGGGATTAGAGGTGTGCACTACCACGCCCGGCTAATTTACTCTTTATTTTTTATTTTATTTTTTATGAGATGGAGTCTCCCTTTGTCACCCGGACTGGAGTGCAGTGGTAGGATCTCAGCTCACTGCAACCTCTGCCTCCCAGGCTCAAGCGATTCTCCTGCCTCAGTCTCCCAAGTAGCTGGGACTAAGGCACGTGCCACCACACCCGGCTAATTTTTGTATCTTTAGTAGAGATGGGGTTTCACCATATTGGTCAGGCTGATCTCAAACTCCTGATCTCAGGTGATCCGCCTACCTCAGCCTCCCAGAGTACTGGGATTACAAACATAAGCCAGCATACCTAGCTTGTGTTGACTCTTTACAAACCTAGGAAGGTACGTTCAGAGTATCTACAAAATGGAGGAGTCATTGTATCAGGCTTGCTGTTTTGAGTGTGCTGTAATACATGTAAAAGGTAGAAATGGCCGGGCGCAGTGGCTCACGCCTGTAATCCCAGCACTTTGGGAGGCCGAGGCGGGCGGATCACAAGGTCAGGAGATCGAGACCACGGTGAAACCCCGTCTCTACTAAAAATACAAAAAATTAGCTGGGCGCGGTGGCGGGTGCCTGTAGTCCCAGCTACTCAGGAGGCTGAGGCAGGAGAATGGCGTAAACCCAGGAGGTGGAGCTTGCAGTGAGCCGAGATCGCGCCACTGCACTCCAGCCTGGGTGACAGAGCGAGACTCCGTCTCAAAAAATAAAAAAATAAAATAAAAAAAAAAAAGTAGAAATGGCCAGCCATAGTGGCAGGCATCTGTAATCCCAGCTACTTGGGAAGCTAAGGCCGGAGGATTGTGAGCCCAGGAGTTCAACACCGACCTGGGCAACATAGGGAGACTGTCTCAGACAAAGAGTATCTCTCACAACTTCTGTTTGTGAAGGAAAAAGAAAAGATAGAGGTTTTTTGGATTTTCGAAGGCAAGAAATAAACAAGTTCCAGTGTTTCCATCCTTTTTGAGAGCATGGGGCCGAGAATGTGAGCAGTGTCTGTGGCCTGGCCTATTTGGATTCTGGGATGTGCTTGGGCCCCAGTTGACTGACCAGGTGCATTATGCTTTCCCAGGTCAGCAGATCCGAAAGCTGATCAAAGATGGGCTGATCATCCGCAAGCCTGTGACGGTCCATTCCCGGGCGCGATGCCGGAAAAATACCTTGGCCCGCCGGAAGGGCAGGCACATGGGCATAGGTAAGTGTGGTCGTCTTCTCCTTAAGAAATGATAGGTGCTGTCGTCTGTGCTGAAATATATTCAGGATATAAGCACTCTGTCTCATCTTGAGCCCGTTTCTTACTCCTTGGTATTTGATGTGTATTCTGCCTGTGTGCAAATCAGAAAGTTGGTGCTGGTATTGGAATTGAGAGTATCCCTGGTAGGAGGTCACATTTACTAAGTCCTTACCTACACTATGCCAAGGATTCTGCTGGGTCCTTGAGAATGTGGTCCATCTTAACTCTAAAATTGCTTTCTAGTGTCAGAATGATTGAAGGAAGCTCCTTAAAACGTGCTGTGCTACCTTGGTGCACTGCCTGTTAAACCCACATTCTGTATGAAGTAAATGGGGAATTATTGCCGTATTTGTGCTTCCTTTAAAATTGAGTAAACGAAAGAACTTACGTAGTTGGGAATCATCATCTGGAAGATTGAAGTAATGCTACTTAAAATGAGGTTGTGAGGATTAGATGAGTTAAGACCCTGACTTGAAACTTGGTGTACTATACACAGTGGACCTGGGTAATAGCCCATTCCTAACTCATCTTCTCCACAGGTAAGCGGAAGGGTACAGCCAATGCCCGAATGCCAGAGAAGGTCACGTGGATGAGGAGAATGAGGATTCTGCGCCGGCTGCTTAGAAGATACCGTGAGTCTAAGAAGATTGATCGCCACATGTAAGCACACCCTCTTGGGCCCAGTACCCATTTGCTGCTTTGATGGCTAGTTCATTTTCCAGAGTGGTTTTTTTTGTGTGTGTTGTTTGTTTTGTTTTGTTTTGAGATGGAGTCTTGCTCTGTCACCCAGGTTGGAGTGCAGTGGCGCGATCTCAGCTCACTGCAACCTCCGCTTCCTGGGTTCAAGTTATTCTCCTGCCTCAGCCTCCTGAGTAGCTGGGACTACAGGCATGTGCCACCACACGTGGCTAATTTTTTTTTTTTTTTTTTTTTTTTTTTTTCATTTTTAGTAGAGACGGGGTTTCACTGTGTTAGCCAGGATGGTCTCGATCTCCTGACCTTGTGATCCATCTGCCTCGGCCTCCCAAAGTGCTGGGATTACGGGCATTAGCCACCGCGCCCAGCCCACAGAGATCTGTCTTAATGGCCTTGGGTAGGGAGCTTTTATTGGAGACAGATTCTCGCTCTGTCACCCAGGATGGAATGCAGTGGCATGATCTTGGCTCACTGCAACCTCTGCTTTCCAGGTTCAAGCACTTCGCCTGCCTCACCCTCTCGAGTACCTGGAATTACAGGCATGCACCACCACACCTGGCTAATTTTTGTATTTTTAGTAGAGATGGAGTTTCACCATTGGCCAGACTGGTCTCGAACTCCTGGCCTCAAGTGACGCACCCACATCTCAGCCTCTGAAAGTGCTCAGATTACAGGCCTGAGCTACTACGCCCAGCCACGGGTAGGGAGCCTTTCTAAGAAAGTTTTTCTATTCTGGTCTTTCTTTTTTTCCCCATATGCCATCAGGATAGCCCAACAGTTTATTTGCCAGGCAAGTTCTATCTAGGAACTGCACACAAAAAAAGTAATGGTTTAGGAAGTAATTCATGAAGCAACAGGAGAAAAGGAAGGAACCTACAAGCTTAGTCACCTTAGGTGGAGGAACAGCTCACAAAGCAGCTTCTGATCCATTACCGACCAGCATCTCTTCACTCCGTGTACCCTGCAGGTATCACAGCCTATACCTGAAGGTGAAGGGGAATGTGTTCAAAAACAAGCGTATTCTTATGGAACACATCCACAAGCTGAAGGCAGACAAGGCCCGCAAGAAGCTCCTGGCGTAAGTTTCTTTTTAGTTTTAGGGGAAAGTTCTTTGACCTTTGGGAGTTGTTCTTAGATACTTAAAATGTGCCAATGCTTAAGTCTTGACTTGCACGCAGTCTGTCATAGGAATATAGCTGTTCCCTTAGAGGTACCCACTCCTCTGTCCTGTACACACCCACTCCTGTATCATAGGGACTGTAGAGGTTAGTTGAAGCAGGAGCCCTTGGTGGGCCCCCCAACTCATTCCTGAAGCTGACTAGGCTCAAAGGGAGAGGTCTAGGGATGTGTTTCTATTTCCCCAGCATCTCATCCCTTCCCAAACTGACCCATCTTTTCTCTTCCCTGGCCAGTGACCAGGCTGAGGCCCGCAGGTCTAAGACCAAGGAAGCACGCAAGCGCCGTGAAGAGCGCCTCCAGGCCAAGAAGGAGGAGATCATCAAGACTTTGTCCAAGGAGGAAGAGACCAAGAAATAAAAGCTCCCCTCTTTGTCTGTACATACTGGCCTCCGTGACTACATAGATCAGCCATTAAAATAAAACAAGCCTTTATCTGCTTTCCTCTCTGCTGCTTGCAAGGTTTACAGCTGCTCAGTGAGGGTTTGTTTGTGTGTTTTGTTGTTTTTTGTTTTGGTTTTTGTTTTTGAGATGAGTCTCGGGGGCCCAATGGTGTGGCCTTGGCTCACTGCAAACTCCACCTCCCAGGTTCAAGCAGTTCTGCCTCAGCCTCCCGAGTAGCTGGGATTACAGGCATGCGCCACCACGCCCGGCTAATTTTTGTGTTTTTAGTAGAGACTGGGTTTCACTGTTGGCCAGGTTGATCTTGAACTCCTGACCTCAAGTGATCCATCTGCCTCAGCCTCCCAAAGTGCTGGGATTGCAGGTGTAAGCCATGGCACCTGGCCTGCTCACTGAGTCTTTTACCTTGTTTTAGTGGGATATAGGGAGAGAAGGAATGGCTTCTATCCAAGCCTCCCAAATACTGTGCTTCAGAGCACGAGTGACACTTAAGAATTGGTCTCAGAATGTTGGTTGGGACCAGTAGTCAGTTGTGATGTCAGTTAAGGAATCAGTCTTTACAGAAGCCAAAGGAAATACTTAATGTGTTTATGCTTCTCAGCTGACAAGTTGGGGTTGCAAATGGGACCTGAGCTTGGACTACTGGTGACTACCTAAGCTGTCACTAAACAGCTTTATTGAGATACAGTTGAAACTCTTGAGACAGAGTTGCCCTGTTGCCCAGTCTGGAGTGCAGTCAGCAATCCCCGCCTCCTGGGTTCAAGCAATTCTTCCTGCCCCAGCCTCCTGAGTAGTTAGGATGACAGGCACTGACCACCATGCCTGGCTAATTTTTGTATTTCTTAGTAGAGAGGAGATTTTGCCATGTTGGTCAGGCTGGTCTTGAACTCCTGACCTCAGGTGATCACCCACCTCCCAAAGTGCTGGGATTGCAGGTGTGAGCCACTGTGCCCAACCCCCTACCTCTTTCAGGGGATGTAATGGGCTGATGAGAAAGGGGAAGACCTGAGCCTGGGATGAGAGGACACTGACTTGTGGATCACCCTTGTCACTGGAGTAGCCCGCGTGTGTTTTACCCATTATTAGCTCTTGCCCTTTGAAGTGGGGAAGCCCAGGCCTAGAAAGGGAAGTGTCTTGGCCAAGCTCCCAGCTTGGTGTGTGGAACACCTACTTCCCAGGCCTGGCACAGAGAAGGCTGGGTATTGTTGGAGACTGCCCACCCCCAACCCCTCCATGCAGTAGAGAGATGACAGTAAGGAGAAGCTTGGTGTGGTGGCTCACGCCTGTAATCCCAGCACTTTCAGAGGCCAAATGGGAGAACTGCTTGAGCCCAGGAGTTTGAGACTTGCCTGGGCAACATGGCGAAAACCCATCTCTACAAAAAATACAAAATTTAGCCGGGCATGGTGGTGTGCCCCTGTAGTCCCAGCTACTCGGGAGGCTGAGGTGGGAGGATCACCTGAACCCAACAGGTGGAAGCTGCAGTGAGCTAAAATTGTACCACTGCACTCCAGCCTTTGTGACAGAGCCAGACCCTGTCCCCCAACCCCCAACCAAAAAAAAAAAGAAGGAGAATGAGGTAACCCAATATAAGACCCTCCCGGTATTCCAGAGCCTGCAGCGCAGAAGCTGGTTTCCACCCTGGGCCAGGAGATGGTGCTACTCGCTCACAGGTCGATGCAGGTGTCAGCTGCTGCCTCACTGGAGTTGTTTTTCTGGTTCTGTTTTTGTTTATTTTGGGGGGTGGGAGAAAGAGATGGGTTATGAAGTTGTAGGAACCTACCTCTTGGAAGGCCTTGGGTTTCCCCCACTTCTTCATCTCACCCCAGGCCTGAAGTTGGCCTCTTCCCGTCGTGGGCCTCCAACCCCTTCCCAGGCCAGTGCCTAGGAGGGATCCACTCCCACAGGAGTCCCAAGCAGAAAGAACCCCTAAAGTAACTGCTTAGCCTTGGGAAAATCAGATTAAAAGATGTGTCCTCTTGTTTCCTTACTTATGGAAAAAGAAAAAAGATGTGTCGTGTCAGGCACATTGGTGTGAGCCTGTGGGCCCAGTTATTCTGGAGGCTGAGAGGGAATGGCTACTTGAGCCCAGGAGTTTGGGGCTACAGTGAGCTATGACAGTGCCTGTGAATAGACACTGCATCCCAGCCTGAGCAACATAGTAAGACCCTGTCTCTAAAACAAAAATATCAACAATAATTTGTAGGCTGGGCATGGTGGCTCAGGCTCGTAATCCCAGCACTTTGGGAGGCAGAGGCGGTGTATAATTTGAGGTCAAGAGTTCGAGACCAGTGGCCGGGCGCGGTGGCTCATGCCTGTAATCCCAGCACTTTGGGAGGCCAAGGTGGGCGGATCACGAGGTCAAGAGATCGAGACCATCCTGACCAATATGGTGAAACCCCGTCTCTACTAAAAATACAAAAATTAGCTGGGCGTGGTGGCACGCGCCTGTAATCCCAGCTACTCAGGAGGCTGAGGCAGGAGAATCACTTGAACCCAGGAGGCAAAGGTTGCAGTGAGCCGAGATTGCGCCACTGCACTCCAGCCTGGTGACAGGATGAGACTCCATCTCAAAAAAAAAAAGAGTTCGAGACCAGCCTGGCCAACATGGTGAAACCCTGGCTCTACTAAAAATACAAAAATTAGCCAGGCGTGGTGCACCTGTAATTCCAGCTACTTGGGAGGCTAAGGCAGGAGAATCACTTGAACCCAAGAGACAAAGGTTGCAGTGAGCCGAGATTGAGCCACTGCACTCCAGCCTGGGCGACAGAGTGAGACTCTATCTCAGAGAAAAAAAAGAAAAAAAAAGTAAAAAAAAAAAATACGTTTTTTCTTTCAAGATCATACAAGTGTTCCTATCATAATATTCCACACTCTTTCAAGGAGCTCGTGACCCACACCCTCACCACGTAAAGAATTCCTGAGCAAACCCAACGCTTGATTTTCTAGAGGAGGAAACAGAGACCCAGAGGAGCCAGTGACTCTTCTGCTGTGCTCAGCAGTGCGGCAAACAGGCTGGGGGGTGGGGGGACTAGGCTGGCTACTGGCTGGTGGCAGACACAAGTGGGGTGTGCAGAACCTCAGTGCTGCACGAACACTGGCGCCTGACTCTGATTCCCGGGCTGCAGTCTCCCGACGTGGGAGGGTGTGATTCAGATTGGGGTGCAGCAGAGGCACTGAGCACAGCTGCTACTGCAGGGCTGTGAGCTGAAGAAGAGAATACAGAGGGGCCTGGCCTCCTTCCAGTGCTGCCTCTGAGGCTACGGCAGGGCTAACCTACGCTGGCTTCCTGCAAGGCACAGGGAGGCTTAGGCTGCCTTCCTTGCACTCCTCAGCAGGTGCCCCCATCTGCCTAGGCATTGGGTGGGCAGGGGGTAAGAATGGGGATGAAGAAGGTTGAAGGGGCCAAAGGAAGCAGTGCTGGCAAAATGGGTGGGGTTGCACAGAGCGGCTGCTTCTCTCTTCCCTCCACCTCCAGCATTCATCTCTCCAGACTCCCTCCTCTTTCTGCATCTCCCCAAAGTCCAGGGAACCTTCATCCCACAGTCAGTACAAGCCAGGTGAAGCTCAGCCTGTGGGTGGGGGGGCATGAAGGGCACATGTGGGTCAGAGACAACAGAGCCAAATGGTGGGATGGCATCACCAGTAGCTTCCTAGGCATCCTTTGCCCCAGGCCAGTGGTGTTGCTGGTCCGTCCACCCCCAGAGTGGGCACAGAGGAGGGCAAAGGCTACAATGGGGCACCAGCTGTTCCCAGGCCCTAGGCTGTGAGCATGCTGCAGGGGGTTCAGCCACCCGAAAAAGCTGCTGTGCTCAGCAGTGCGGCAAATAGGCTGGAGTGGGGTAGGCGTCCAGGCCAGCTGCTGGCTGGTGGCAGACACACAGCTGGGTGTGCAGAAAGCGTGGCTGCAAGGCTCTCAGGCTCTTGATCCCTGGAGCCTCTGGCCCAGCGTCTCAGGGTGTCTCTGTCTCCATTTTGCTGGTTTAAGGCATTGAGGAAGCCAGGGCAGGGGAGGGAAAGAGCTGAACTGAGAAGAAAAAGCCACAGTTTCCAAGACTGGCTTGATCACCAATTTGCTGGGTGATCCTGGACAAGTCATTAGCCCACTACAGGTCTCAGTTTCCCCATGTATAAAGAGGGCAGGATTGAGCTGGATAATCTGTGTGACCTTGGATAAGCCACCTAACCTGGCTGTACCTCAGTTCTTCCCTGTGAGAGGAGGACACCCCCACTCGCCTCCCGGGATCCTGGAGACGATTAAGTAACATCAAGTTCCTGGCACGGTTCCCTGGGCACAGTAGGTGCCTATTTATGAGTTCCTCTCTTTAAGCGTTCACACTGGGCTTATGACCCCTTCTTCCACTCCCACGGCTGGGGATCCTAGGAGGGAGGGCCACCCTCCTTTCCCGGCTCTCTCCAACCCCAACCTCCAGGGCCTTCCCTGGGTCAAGGGGCCCAAAGAAAGCTCAAGGAGAGGACCCAAGGTCTGGGCCCACCTGGCCTACCTTACTCAGGGGGCGGGGGCTGTGAACCAGAACCGGTGGAGGAGGGGGCGCTCATCAGGAAAGACAGCCCCCACTCTGCATCCCGGCAGCGCCAGCAGTGCCCCAGCACCCCCGCAGCCCGCCTCTCTTCGCGCCCCGCTCCCCTCAGCCTATAAATAGCACGGGACGTGCTCGCCGTGGCAATGACGCGGCTGGGCAGGCGGAGGGGAAGGAGGCAGCTCTGCCAGAGCGGTGGGCGGCGGGCGCGGCGGCGGGAGGGGTGCGGCCCCTCCGTGCTGGGCTCCGATGACAGGCGCGACTGACTCATCCCGTGGCCCCACGGGCCACGACTGTCCCCGCCGCCAGCGTTTCTGTCTCCGGCTTGGGGGACTGCGGGGGCGAGGCTGACTTCGGGTGGGTACTGAGCCCTCCCAGACCCCTGGCACGCCCGGCCTCGGAGGGCACCTCTGGGTGAGCAAGATCGGTCTCGATGGCCCTGGCGCGCAGGAGTGTGTCCGCCCTCGCGCGACTCAGGTGCAGGTGGAGGCGAAAAG